TCCAATCTCCATCAAACGCTGCCGCAGGCCAATGATCTCGCGAGCGACTCGCTCGCAGCCACGAACTACGCCTCCATGGTGGATAAAGACACGCTGCCTTGCTTTTTGGTGCACCATGACACTGCCATGCCTTTTAAAAGCACTAATTCTCCGGTGAGCGACTTGCGGTCGGCCTTGTAGGCCGCGAAGTCGACGTCGCTGTACGCCTCCAACAGTAGCACGTCACGGCTCGATTGCGAAGGCGCCATCGTGAGCTTGAGCGTCGCGGTGCCCTTAAGGTATTTGGAGATCCGCTTCGCAAGCTTCTAGTCGCGGATGCGCGGTGCGTGCGTCTGTCAGATCGCCTTATGAACGGCAAATGCCACATCTAGAAGCGTGCATCCTGTCACCCACAACAAGCTACCAATGAGTGCCTGGAATGCCTTGATCTACCGCCGCTCGAGCTCGTTGTCTCAAGCAGCACAGCATCATCGTGTTAGCACCTCGTAGCACTCACCACCGATTGGCGTCTTCGTCGTGCTGGCATCGTTCATGCCATGCGCACGCAGTAGTTCTTTGATCGCTTCTTCTTGATCAACGCGGTAGCTTCCGTCGTCGCCAAGCTTGACACGCATGCCGATAAACGTTTGCAAGCATCCCAAGTCCTTGACCTGACGCATCGTTAGACTCTCATATATCTTCTCCACTGTCGCGGCGCTCGTGCCCGTCGCAAGGAGTTCATCGACGCACACACCGACGACAACAAGCTCCTCCTCGTCATGCCGAAAGTATAAGCAGATGTTGATAACATTGTGGTGGTGTGGATTCTTAAACGTCGTAAGAGAACCACAAACACACACAGCTCCGAACTGCCGACTTACAAAGGGGGTACCCCGACACCGTATCGCGCCAACCTTGGGTTTCACCTTGTGTACCCGTCGGCTTGGCTGGTCTTGCTCCTCGTTTGACGCAAAAGACTTGGACTTGGTGGTCTCCGAGTGAATATACTTCACTCGGGCACGGGGTTCCTTGGGCTCAATCGACTGGGTCGAGAGCAATGCGCCTGGTACTATGTACCCCTTTGGTGGCTAACGGCTTCTTGGTCTTTCGACCCCTTTTTCTTGTTCACCGTAGGACCCGCTTCCTGTAGCGGTTTTTGAATGGGTACGAACCCACAGGACAAAATACTTTCTGGAGTTCGTTCAAGCTTGAATGTTACCACACGACTGTCTTCAACGGGGGGCCAAAATAAATCCCTTCCCCGGAACAGGTGGGTAGATCGAAACAAGTTCGCACTTGGGTCTTGACACCTCAGGCCAACTATCCTGAGATTTAACTTGCGTTGCTTGAGCCGTCACCTCACCTGACGTCGGTGGGCCAAAGGGTATCCTCGCCCGGAATAGGTGAGGTGACGGAGAAGAGCTTGGAGAGGGGCGCTTAGAGCTGCCACGTGGAATGCACACGCGAGTGTGTTTATGTATCTTATACTTTGTATGCTTTCTTGCCTAACCCTAACCCTTTGATCGGGATAGTGCCACGTGTCGACTCTTGGAGGAAGAATGGCTCCTTGGTACCTGTACTTTCTGTAATCTTCGAGGTTCCGTGTACCGTTTCTGTACCCTCGAGAGTTGGGCCCTGGACCCTGAGCCCTGTACCCTGAGCCCCTGTACCCAAGAGCCCTGGTACCCTGGGGCCCCTGTATTCTGGGACCCTCCCACCTTGGTGCACTCGGACCTTGGGAGCCTTAAAACCTGGTTTCCTTGGGCCCTGGGGCACTTTTACCCTGGGGCTCTGGTACCCCGGGTCCCTTGTACCTCGATGCCCTTGTACCCTGGGGATTGGGTCTCGAGGTCCTGGACTTGTATTGACTCTGCACGCAGACAAAATTTGTATCTTAGGACCTCGAACCACCTCGGGGCACTGGACCTTTCGAGGTTCTTGTGTACAGTCTGTGTGCACGGTAGGGAAACCTTGTACCTTTTATGACTTCAGGACCCTGGACCTTCGGTACCCCTGTCCCCATGTAACGGGTACCCTTGCCCCTGGTGACTGGAAATTCTGTACCTGGTGACTGGTACCCCTGTCCCCGGTGACTGATACTCCTGTCCCCTGTAACTGTTATTCCTGTCCCCCGTAACTGGTACCCCTGTCCCCGGTAACCGGTGCCCCTGTCAGTGATGACTAGAAACCCTGTGATACCCCTATTCCCGGTGACTGGTACCCCTGTCCCCAGAAAATGGTAACTCTGCCCCCAGAAAATGGTAACTCTGCCCCCAGAAAATGGTAACTCTGCCCCCAGTAACTGGTACCCCTGTCCCCGAAAACTGGTACTCCAGTCCCTGGTGACTGGAAACTCTGTCTTTGGTGACCCTCGTTTGAACCTTGAGACCTTGCGAGGCTTAAATTCTTTTTTTCTTTATTGTGATATCCTCAGGGGCCCCGATTTTCCTGGCACTTCACAACACACTGAACAAACCCAGCGTCCGTAAGCCGCGCATGGAGCAGCAGAAGCGTTCCGCTTGCTTCAAGCCATACACGCTTTGCGAAGCTCGAGAACGATCTCACAAGAGCTCGCGGCGCCGATCTCGCGCAGTGTGTCGTCGGACACGTCCACCCCGCGCGGCAATTGAAAGCAAATCTTTAGGTGAGCTTTCTTGTCCACCTTTACATACGTGTTTGGGATGTCGCCATGCTTGGCCGGCACACCTTAAAATGCCGCGAGAGTTTTCACCACCTTGACAGTGCTGGTGTCCATCACCGTCGCGAACGTAAGACTGTAGTCTACGCCAAGCACTTGCTCGTCGCCACGCAACTAGCCGTGCTTTGTAGCGTTCCAGCTCGCCGTCGGATCCCGTCTTTATCTTATAGACCCATTTAGAGTGCAACGGGTTTGATCCCACGCCTCTCTTCGTCACGCGCCAGACGCCATTGTCCTAAATCGCGCTAATCTCTCGCGCATTGCGACCTCCCGCTCCGCGCGCTTCGAACTGCGCATTGATTCTGCATAGTTTATCGGGTTCTTCTCGTAAGCGAGGTTGACGACGTCGGGTATCGCCGTAGGCTCTTCCAGCTTCGCTGCGCCTCATGCGCGCTTGGCAGCACCATGTGTCGTATGCGGCTGCCGCTGCCATCGTTTCTTCATTGCCTTTGTCCGCGCGGTTCTGCTGCTGCTTTCGGCGCTCAACTTCGTCGCTTCCGTTGCTTATTGGGCTAGCACAGGTGAAGGTCCCGAATTCGTCGCACTCACGGCGTCTCTGCGCACGACAGGGCCAATGATTCCGCGCAGAAGTCATTCGTTATGTTCTGCTGACAGTGTCGAGGTGTCCTTCACGTGCTGCGTCGTGATGACGATGTTGCTCTTTGGGAGGTACACTCGGTAACCTTCGTCTCATCGTTGAGGCCGATGATCTGCCCTTCTTCCGATCGTGGAGCTAGCGAGTTCTTCCCCGGGTCCCGTCGTACGTCCGCACGTCGACCCAAAACGACGATGTCACGCAGATCTGAAAGGTCTTCGTCAGCACTTCGTACGGAGATGCGCATCGCTCGTATACGCTCGTAGGGCTGCAATTCAAAATGTACGTCGCATAGTCGACAGCGTCACCCCAGAAGAAGAGCGGCATGTTGCACGCGAAGATCATCTACCTCGACATGTTAAGCACTTACTGTGCATTCTTTCTGCCTTGCCGTTGGTTGCATGATTGCGCGCTTCGCAAATCTGGTGCGCGAAGCTGGTCGTTTGGAAGGGTAGGTCTACGTTTCCATTTTTCACCTCCTCCATCGGTGCGCAAGACCAGATCTTGCATCCTAAGCGTCGTCTGAATAATCGCCATATTATGCTCATATTTCTTGGCTGCTTGGTTCTTGCTCTTGGCCAAGAACACACTACAGTAGTTGCTTTTGTGGTCACCAAAGTTGACCACGTATCGGTTGCCCAAGCGTTCCCTCGGCATAAGAGGACCTTTAAGGTCCGAACAAATCGCTCCCTCGACACGCTCAATTGGTGAATACGCGCCGCTAACTTGCTGGCTATGCGCATTCTGCGTCTGTTTGCTCTGTATGCGCGTCACGCACGTCGCGCATGTGAGGCGACATCGTTCGGTGAGCTTGATGCCAGAGCTCGGGTTGCGTGCGATGCGCTCAAAATCGTGTCGTTCGATATGTGCCCGAGGCGTTGGTGGAAGTGGGTTAGCGATCCCACTTGCACGTCTCTCGCCAAATCTATCGCAACGTCGTCAGCCGTGAGCACCGCCATGATCACGTCGGCTGACGCCGCGCTGTCGCCGTGACGACAAAGAGCACGTTAATATTTGTCTTGACGTCAAATGCGGCTGCTCCGTTGCTTCTTCGCACAAGCGATCGAGCGCAGCTGCTGTACGAAAGCTTGAAGCCCTTCTGCTCCATCTTCCCGAACGATATGATAATGCAGAATAGCTGCGGCGCCAAGAAGACATCGGTGAGCGTCACGACGCGCTCCACGCCTTCAGCCATTACGCGAAGACGCACGCTTCCGACCTGCCTGAGCTCAAGTGCATCGTCGTTCGCCATCGCGATTTCGTGGCTGCAGCATTTGGCGTCAAGCAGCAGCGATGCGTCTTGCACCAAGTGCCGACTCGATCCGCTATCGAGGATCCAGATCATCGCCCTCGTCGCTGCCAACAGCATTGCACAACTCATTACGCTATTTTTGCAGCCCGCGCGCGTTTCGCGCGTTCGCGGCTTGCGCTCCGTCAGAGCCAGCAACATACCGCTTTCTTCCCTGTCCTCGTTCTTTGGATGCGCAGCCTCGCCACCGTTAGTGTTGCTGCTGGCGCTCGATCGGCAATACGCTTAAATGAGCCCGTCCTTGCCCGAGCCATGTCACTTGCGCGTACCCTTCCGCTGCACTGGCGCATCGATGTGTGCCGCTACGGGTTCTTGACCGATGGACGTGGCTGTCGTCTCGATGAACTGCGCAAAATGCGCGAGCTCCTCGCCGCGCCGGAGATGGTCGATTCGATATGGGTCTTACTTGGCTTTAAGCACTAGCGCGAGCTCTGCCGACCCGTGGGGTCGATGTCCGCTATGTTGTCAAACACGAGCGAGTCCGCGCCGCCTCTTGTGTCGCCGACCGCCATTAGGTACACGAAGTGCTCGGGCCACGTGCGCATAGGATCCTTCCGCTGTGCGAACAACTTCATGGCTTGCGCAGCAGTGATGGACGTTCTAAGCGTGGCAAGCATCCGTCTTATCACATAGTCAAGCGTCGGATGCTCGATCCACCACGTATCAACTTGCTTGTAGTATTAGCGCTCGGCGGTTCCGCTCAGATAGTGTCCGAGCAGGTCAAATTTAACGTCCTACGTCCACAGCAATCCATACGCCGCTTGCGCCATGTTGACCTGTGGAGGAACGTGCGTCCCCAGTCGTAGAAACCCGAGCCGAGGCCGCGGTAAAGCTCAATTCCATAGAAATTGCGCACTGTTAGCTTCCGCTGCCGCGCGTTCGGCGTCCCGACGAGCATATGCTGATGCTCGTATCTCGATGGCTGCGTTGCGGCGTGAGCCGCGCCATACGCACCAGCGATGTATTCCTTGACCGTCGCTGCCACCTGCGCTGGCGCATCGGCTGGTGCACGTGTATGCACTTGCTGCGGCTGCGGCGGCAATGCCGGGAAGCGAGGGCCAAACGAGTGAAATGGCGAGTACTCCTGACTTGGCGTCGAAGCGCGCACGAGCGGCGCTCTGGCCGGCGGCTTCCGTTCAGGTTGCTCGTGCGCATCGATTTGCATCGTTGCCGCACCGAGGTTCGCGCCGAGCGCCGATGCAAACAAGCCACTCTCGATGGCCACACGCATAAACGATCGTCTTCAACGAGATTGATCTGGCTCGCCTTCATGAAAAAATAATTCATGCGTTCCATGCGCGACGAGAGCGCATCGAGCATCGCGAGAATCTTGTCCTCCTTCGCCTAGCCCCTTTCGTGGGCCGGCGCATCCTTAACGACGGCGGCAGCACGCGGTGAAAACGCTGGAGATGCTCCAAGTCCCGTTGAAACTCTCGCTGTCCTACTAAAGCCAGTGCTGATTCGGCGTCTTGTGATCCGTCATTGGGCTTATAATTTGTAAGAAAGTAAGAATAAAGTTAACACGAATGACTTGTGTATTAACGCGTGCCAGACGTGTTTCGGCCCCCGCCGGAGCCTCGTCAGTGGCTTTGCCAATTTACAAGTGAAAACCACCCGATCATCTTCCTATTTCTAAGATCTATCACATCCATAGAAGCATATGAAGCCTCTACATCATTCCGTATATCCTACCGTAGGTTAGAGCTCTAAAGTCGATACCAGGTGCAACTTGCACATTCCAACATTATGACAGTGATGTTCGTGCTTGTAGGAAAGTCAGAACGCATGACGATATGACTTTACTTACGGACGCGTGCCAGACGCGTTTCGGCCCGCCGCCGCGAGCCTCCTCAGTGCCTTACCGATCGCAAAGTGATTCTCCTCAGTGCAGGGGGCTCTGTCGCTGCCACACGTTTACCTACGCATCGAACATATTGGAACTAACTCGTAGTCGACTATTCTACAACTACCTAGCAGACTTCACCGGCGTACATCTAGTACCGGCTAGATACGAAGTTCCGCTTTTCAACAGTCTTTTTGTTACTGTATGTATTTACAAACTCTTACGTTAATTCGTTGTATGGCAATATCGGATTTGCAAACAGACATGCACAATGCCTTAATCTGTTGTCGTCAAGTAACAGCTGTAACACCAGCAGCCTTAGCAGCAACAGCTAGTGAAGTTAGAAGCACTAGATTAGACAGTCCTAAATTTATGAAAACCGTGACGTTTTTTTTGAAATATCAATAAGTTGGCATTTTGAAAATTAGGTTTAAGCGGATTTACAAAGGGGTGGATGATAAGTACCGCATTATTTTACCCGATTACAAAACTGCTGATCACAATATTCAAATACTGTAGCAACTGAATTTAAGTAAGTCTGCTCCAATTAAACGACAAAAAACGACCTATTTACTGGAAATTTGTATAATTCACATTTCTCTATACCATAAAGTTTGTTAGTTCTTATCAATATAAATTGATATTATCGATTATGAGAGAGTGGTCGAAAAAGCATCTTGTGTCACCTTGTGAGTACCCTATCGGCAAAAGCTACATACTGCGTATCGTACCACAAAACCAAAGCTACTTTGCTTACGGGAAAGACAACTTAATGAACCACGACGCTGTTCATCTTTCACCATCCCTGTACGCTGCTCCATTCGCTTTATCAATCCGTACCGAGCGGTCTTCCAGTACCCCAGGCATAGCCACCACCCTGAGGAATCGCGCCTCGGCCTGCAGCTCCTCGCGTACCAATGATCGGAACTGCACCACCAGCAACTTGAGGAGACGGGAACAGATTGATGCTGCGCAAAAAAAGTATACAGTGGCATTTTCTTAATACAGCAGCTATGTGCAGTTCTCACAATGAGCAAACAAACATAATCGTACAATACAGCAGGGGTCTGCAGCAAGTTCCAGCCCTTAATCGCTGGCAACACTTCCAGCAGGAAGTAGTACAAGTGACCAGCGATAACCCCAAAGACATCCATCATAGGGTTGCCGCCAATGAGCACAGTGAACGCAATCAGCGCCCACGGCAGGTAGAGGCCTTCGAAGCGAAAACCTGCAAGCAACAGACAGTGACTTCGTTTAGTGTAAACTTGTCACCGACGAGAAGTAAGCGCTGTACCGTACCCCAAATTGCGACGGGCGCCGTCGGATTCCGCCGACTCCAAACATAGACGATCATAAAGATGAGGGACGTGCCAAGGAATGGGAGGTCCATGAAAAACGCCACCACCTGCAAAACAAAACAACGTCAGTCTCCAGTAAGCACGTCATCAAATGCATAGCACGCTGGACGTTCATATGTAGTTCGCCGTCATCAGTAAAAGTGTCGTATACCCACCCATAACACAGCAGCTCCGAAGAACAGCATAAAGGCGTAGTCAGCGGTGGGACCACCGCCGCCCGGAAAGGGGTCCTCCTCCAGTCGAGATGAGTAGTTAGTCCTGCGTACACCTTTAGTCAATAGTGCCAATATATAAACAACAAGAGGGTAGAGCTTCCACGCACAAGATCATGAGCTGCATGAGAAAGGGAAAACTAAAGCTCCCGAGATAGATAAAGCACGTCATGAGGCGCCAGAGCTGGAAACGTTGCCACACGAGATCAAAGTCCAGATAGAGCGACTGTGGGTTCAGTAAACCCAGTGTATTTAGCAGCGTGGAACCAAAGCACACCGACAGGTAAAAGCGCGTGACGTACGGTAGTCCATAGTACCAAGTCTCAATGCTTCCCGCCATCTTTCACCAGTTGTGTTGAAATGATTGAACTTTTTAAACTGCGATTCAAAAAAACGTGAAAAAAACGTCTTGTTAGAATATACATGGGTGTTTTTCAACAAACAAATGGGATATACGATCCGTTTGAAAAAACCCAACATTCACTCTTGGGCAATACTGTAAGAAAGCAAGAGACCAGCTGCAGCCAGGATGCTTCAGCACGCGGTGGCGCTGCTACTGCAGCGATTACTGGGCAAGTTTGTGACCTTTGACTCAAATATGCTTAAGATGAGTCTATGGCAGGGCGACCTGTCGTTTCAGGATCTACAGCTGCGGTTGTCGCACGGCGAAGGCGCCATCGACCACTTGAGTATCCAGATCCCGTGGCGTGCGCTATGGACGCAGCCAGTACAGATTAAAGCACAGGGTATCCGCATACTACTGCATCAGACGTCCAAGGTGAGCCATGCAGAGACACAAGAACTGGAAGAGACGGTGGATACGAGCATTGCCGACAGCAATGGAGACGGTAGGGTCGTCTCTATGTTGTAATATATCACTATCTAGAGGATTTATGGACTGATTCCATGCTGGTAATAGATTGGACTTATCTTTCGAGATTAGTGTCTCATATCATTGGCAACGTGCAGATTGAACTGTCGAACGTGCAGATACGGTACGACTGCGACCCGAGTTCTCTAGCGCAGGTGCGAGAAGTTACGATATTGGAGATGCAGGAGAAATGAGACTCTCGACTGACTATTATGCTGCTGTGATATTATTGTTAGCAACCGGGAAGCGGCACGTTGGAAATTGCATACGTCAGTTTGACCAACACCAATGCAGAATGGGAACTGGAGTTTACGCCGCAGTCCAATGCGAATATGGAATCGAGAAAGGTTTGGGACTATATTGTACGAGACAATAGAGGGTGAGTCGACTGACGAACTCGTGGTGTTCTGCTTGCGGATTCGTAGCTGCTGAGAACAGAGGGTGTTGCAGCCTATATTGAGTATCCAGACAAGCAGAGAAGTACAGGTTCAGAATGTGAACGTAGTTCTTCCAGGATACACCGAAAATATTTATTTCACGAGTGGTGCAGCACTGTAAAGGTATTGCAAGTGTTTTCCTGCTGGTTCGGCTTTCGCAGGGTTGCTGATGGTGTGTACTGGTTGTAGGCAAGTTTGTATTATCACAGCGTTAATGCTGCGTTTCCCGACGTGGAGCTAGATATAGATGTCGGCTGTAAGCCTGGAAGTATTGCAGAAAAATGCGGAATGTGTGCTGCAAACAATACGAGTAGCAAAGAAAGAGTCGCACTGCCAGTCAACCAGCCCCGAGTGCATTTTGGACCGGAGCATATCGACGTTTTGTATGCCATTCTGATTGAAGTGAGGACGCCTTACGACGAATACGATCGCTTAGCCACATTGACACAGCAGCAGGTATCGCGACCGGATGGTTTCTTGATGGTGCTTTCATATGCTAAGCAGTGGCTACTGACCGACTGTTTGGATGCAGTGGTGGGAGAAACGTTTACTTTAGCAGCGGTAGGCGATGACGATGACGATGATGAGTTTGAGGATGCTATCACCCCTCCGAGTCTTTCCGTGCGAGCAGAATTACGGTATGGAGCAGGGATATTTTTTTCTGCTCGAGAATCCGTTGCGACAGAGGAAAAGACTGTCGGAGGGACACATTGGATATGGATTCTAGGAAACACCATTGGAGTTATCAAGCAGTCATGCGTTGAAGACGAGATTCAGCTTAGTGTTCAGTCATTATACATGTACGAGGTTGCTGAGCGCAGCGAAAGCTACAGCATTATTGACCACGCAAGTCAAAGTCACGAAGATGCCAGCTCAACTGTGATGGAGGCACCTATTGTTCGAATATCTTGTGTCGTTCCTGCCTATCAAAGCCGCCTTGTTGGGCACCAGCCTGCACTGGACGTCCAGATAGGCAGTATCATGATGTTCATTAAAGATGAGACGCTGGTCATGTGGATGACTCTGTTTGCGCCGATGTATTGGTGGTGGAACCAGTGGAATCTATCGCATCCAAGAAAATCGGTTGCGTACGATGAGGCACAGATTGCTCCGATCGCACATGTCGGAATTAAGATGGAGAAGATATGTTTTGTGTTCGGGCTTCATGATCGATTTTGTTTTGGCATTAAGTTTATAAATCTGTCGGTTGAAACGTCTGAGCCTGATCGTCGTGAATTTGTAAGGAGTAATTTTCGGACAAGTTTCCGCTTGTTCTCAATTGGCAAGAGCTTGGCGTCGCTGCAAGCCCAGAAGAACTGGAATGACGTAAAAGGCGCGCATGAGATTGTGATTGTGGACAACCTTTTGCTCACGAAAATGAGCCACTCAAGAACGCAATGGTGTACAGAATATTATTTTTGCAAGCACTGTTCTTTGTGCGATGGAGCGCTTTGTTACGACGAACAAGAATATGAGCCCGAAAAGGAAACTGCTATGTACAACTATGAAGCTGGACTCTCTACGATACGAATCGACTGGACAGTGGTAGAGCTTGAAAATCTTTTCTGGGTACTGGGAAAGTGGAGTTTTTATTTGCCGGACAAGGCAGCTCATGAGCCTGATCGAAATCTAGGTCCTGATGTGGGGTGTGGAAATCTAATTTGTCAAAGAAGGTGGTCTATTAAGACTTCTGACATTGAGATATGTGTAACTGATGATCGGCCAGGGCAGGCTACCCAGACGTCATTTGTACTGTCTATCAACGATGTGGAATGGTTGTCACGGGTATGCACGACAACTCATTCTCACAGTTTCAGCGCATCGTCAGTCTCACTCCGAGAAGGTGATAATGTAATCTTTCAAGTCACTGGAAAACCAGGTTTACTCACGCCTGCTCTAAGTGCCAGGTTGCAGACAGATCTTGCTTACCTGAACGAAAGCTGGGCAGTAGAAAAAAATATGCCATCAGTCTTACGGTTCGATCACCAAACTTCTCGTGTCATTTTATCTATCCAGCGCTTGTCTGGAGACTTATTTCTTCCGGATATAGAAATGGTTCTGGCGTGGATTGGAGGACTTCATAACAGGTATTTGCTAGGTTTGATTCTGTCGACCAGCTGGGGGTACGAACTCGATGATTTCCGACTCAATCTGTCAAAGTTGGGATCTCAAGCGTTTTCGACAGTGTTGAACGATTCAACGTGCTTAAATGACGAGGTTGTCATCAGTTTGTCAGTTGCGCATGGTTTGCAGCTTAATGTTAAGCACCGTGATGAAACACCAGGTGCCTCTCTCGATGCTTTATCGCCTATTCGAACAATTGCTCGCCTGGATGTTTCAAGTATGTCACTGCAAGCTTGCGGGTCTGGTGCTACTGTGAGTGGCAGGAGAAAGTTTCAGATCAAGGGCAGCATGCGAAATTTGCAGCTGATTGATTTGACCAATCCGAGTGGATCTTTGCCTGTTGAAGCAGCGCTACCGAACCGGCAATCTGTTGGCTCGCCTGGAGATATGTTTGACGGAGTAGCTGACGGGGGATCTTTCGGTGTGAAAAATGTCATCGACTTCGTGATCAACTCTCCAGAAAGCTGTGATGGAGGGGTCGTGGTTCGTATTCGGTTGGACTCAGTTTGCGTTGTGTACCTGCACCGGGTATTCAAGCAATTTTACCACTACTTTCTTGACAACTTTTACAATACTCTCGTCAATCCGCTAGGTGAAAGCCCGAGCCATGAAATGGCTAGCTCTGTATTAAAATACTACATGGTAAACACCGCAGCGCTTCCTGTGTCATTAGAGGAGCTCTTACACATGTACATCAATGCGGTGGTGACCGAGGTAGAAGAGCGCGTTAATGCAATGGGCTCTTCTACCACTAGACATCAGAAGGGGAATGTGTACTTTGAAGTTGTCGGAAATGACTTGACATTTGCGCTGCCACGGAGCTCGTTCTCGCGAGATAGCATCATTTTTCGTTCGACAAATGCTCGGTTTTGGAGCAGTGGTGTCGATCCTTTGGCATCTGCTTTCTTGCAGAACGGTACCTTTGCCGACGAAGCACGTTTGTCACAAGGCTCAGCATTCGCTGGTGCGTCTGCAGCAAAGGCACAGCTTTCCCGACGAACAGAGCTTAGAAATTTAAGGCGGCAAATCAAAAACCAGCGCTCGCGCATCTTAAGCAACCGTAGCCAGTTGTTTATTGATCTTCGGAATGCCACGCAACAAGCACAGAACTACCTGCATGAAGGTTTTCAGGCTCTTCCAGCAGCCGAAAATGCGGTGAAGATTATTCACAATAAGATTGTCCAATTGGATCAGCAGTTGGAGCAGCTCACGCAGTATCTTCTCAAAGTAGACTATGCACTCGACGAAGCAAAAGCTGAAGGAGATGCGCTTGATAGTGGTGGCTGCGATAGTCTGCACTTCCTGGCAAGTACACCGACGAATAGCATGCAAGCACAATTCGATTCGATGGAGCAAATACGCCATGAAGTTGCCGGAATGTCTCAGCATCTTATGGCACCACTATTTGTGGCTGAGGATGCAGAATTTCATGATGCACGAGTTGCGACGGATTCCAACGTGATATCACACGACCATAGAGATGGAGATATGTCAACGTCTTCGGTTGGGCTCTTTGAATTTGAGCTGGTTGACCTAAGCGGAACAACACGTGACTCAGTGTCGCCACTCTTTCATCATTCGCTTCTAACTGGCCGTATTGATTTGGAGCCGGAGAGCTTATCCGAGGCGATATTAAGTTCATACTTTGGACTCGCTTTATCGATGAACGAGCTCAGTATAGGAACTGGCCCTGAGCAGTATACAATTCTCTTAGGAATGATCTACGAAAACTTTCAGGAAGTCTCGCGCGTTGTTGCAGAAGACACGTACCCGTTATGTGTTACTTGTGGAGGGCTACACTATAGCAGCGAGAACTGCAATGCTATATGGCTAAAGATTCTAGTGAAGTTTTCTGACGCCGCGCTTCGGATTTCTAACAGCGACCATACCGTTGCAGATCTGTTCTGGGAGCAGCTTGAACTAGCGTTTACCTTGCGGACGGATGATTCGTTGGAGGTTAGCGTGGCATCACTTTCCTTTACAACGGTTGATGTGCGGCCTACTCATTGCCAGACAGCAGCAGAAATTGTTCGTCCACTGCCTGGAGACGGTTTTCAATTTGAGTACACCCAGAAAATGAATTGGACAGATTCTGTTTACGATTTGAAAGTGAGAAACACCAATTTTCTGGGTGTTTATCCTGCGTTTCACGACATCGTCGCGTTTTTTGTGACTCCAATTTTCGAGGAAGGGGGATTCCTTGATTTTGATGTCGGGTATATGTCGTCGCCACCTCCGGATTGGCAAAAGCTGGACTTCTTTGTGACTACAACCGGATGTCTCTTTTCGTTATTGGAGGATTTCGAAACAACCGATGCGCGAGCGTTGGTCATGTTAACTGATAGTGTGGCTGCATACTCACTGCACCAGAAATGTGAGGGTGTTGCGGACATGACCAAATGTCATATGGAATTTCATCAGCATGGCGTATATTTCTCGCAACTTCCTGATCTCCAGGTACGCAGCACTTCGTTACTTATAGGAAGAGAGTGCTGTTCAGTACTGTACTAACGTTGACTTTGTGTGTCTTTGGCAGATCGATGCATCTTTCCCACTGTCAAACTCATTTCTTCTGGTGATTGATCACTTTGTGGAAGGTTCGACGACCCTGTCACGACGAAATTCATTCGTGCTGGCTCCAGTAGAAACACGATTTTCTGTTCAAGACGCGAATTTGTTCATCAATATCGCGAATAATTATTTGCAGTGCGTCCCATTGCCCACTCGCTCGGTTTCTGCAAAAGTTACGTCAATCGAGGCGCACATTGTATCTAACGATGCCTTCAGCTCTCAGAAGTCACTGACCGCGCCACCAACGACTTTTGTTGCTGACAAGCTTCTTGGTGATGTTGGTGAGCTGCGTTTGGTGCTCGTAAACAACAGCTTAGGCATTCCTATCGCTGATTTTCGTATGCGTGAGATTGTATGCGAGTACATTCAAGATGAAGACTACTCAACAACTATGGGTGCCACACTGCTTTTCAACTACTTCAACAACAGCATTTATCGATGGGAGCCTCTCGTGGAACCGTTTGCTGTCCAGATTCGCATTCATCGTGCGCTGAAAGATAACAGTCTTGTGGAAGTGTTTGCGAACCTGCCTAATACTGTGAACTTTAACATGACACCTGCAATGGCTCCTTTACTGTCTTCGGAAGCATTGACTCAAGCAGACTTTGTCACGTCTGGATCAAAGTCAACATCACCGTTTTGGGTCGAAAACAAAACAGGTTTAGAGCTAAAGTTTAGTTTTCGACGTGGGACAGGGACTATCATTCAACAAGTAGTAGCCGACAACGGGAAGGTATCCGTCGATTGTAGAGAGCAAGGAGACATGCTGAGTTTTGACAGTGCTTCAGCTGACCGATTCCTGCGAGAAACTGATCGCCAAGCTCTAACTGTAAATCATACACTTTCTGTTTGGCTGAACGGTAACAAGTGGGTAAGTGTGAACCCTGTCGTGGTGGATATGGTTGGACATGTAGCCGTTCCTCTCCGTGAATCGCTGGTGCCGGTAGCTAATGATGATGCAGACGACTATGAGAGTGGCGGTGATGAGGAAATTCATTTACCGACTTTGGTAGCGGAGATCAGTATTCAAGCCGATGGCAGCAAGCTTATTAGCCTACATTCTCAGATGGTACTTCAAAACCGAACGTCTGTTCCGTTGATGGTGTGGGCATTTTCACCTCGTGAAGGTGGTTGCATTCAAGAGTGGATTATCGATCGTGAGCAAGTCTGCCACATCCCTCTTCAACTTGTACACCCTCAAAGTAAACTTAGTATAAAACCTTCGCCATATGTGCAGTATGCGCCTCTGACAACAAGCTTGGAAGAGCTTGGTGACGAAGTAAGGACAGCAAAAGCCGTCAACACTAAACGTTTTGTGCGTGCTGGCAGCTGCATATGCAATTTCGAAACGTTTGCTACGACGGAAGATTTACAAAATGCTGCAAAGTCACTAGACATGGTGTCGTCTTCGTCGTTGTCGTCGGCAAACCCGCTGTCTGGTTACATTGTTCGAGATCTTCCTGCTTGGAAGTGCACGTATGAGGTGGAAGCCTACTATTTGATGCGGGCTACTTTTTCAAGTACAGATGAACCTTCACCTGCAAAGAAACAGGTTAATGATTTGCCACAGGTCGAGGAAGAAGGTGAAAAAGTGGAAGATGACTTTCTTAACGTGTTTGGTGAGCCAGCTCAGCGCCAACGCGTGAACCCACTGCGAGATGTGAACCACGAGTTGGATGAAGCAAGATCTGCAAGTCAACGGCGAGGACTGTACGAACCGACCAATTCAAGTCTCTACTACCTCTCCGTGTCTCCATTCCTAACGCTCCACAATCGCTTGGCAACGGCGATGGCGTATCGTTTGCTCAATGATTCTCTTCAGCTAGTTGCCGAAGGCATATTAGCGGTAGGGAATGTACTTCCCTTATTTCAAGTCGATGCATCGGAGCTTCTGTACGTATCTTTTCGGCTGGAGAACTACAACTGGAGTACTCCAAAACTAATTATTAACCCGAAGGCGTCTACCTATTCGGTACCTTACAAAGAAATAATTGAACCGGTGCAATTGCTTGGCCGCGTTTTTGATCGTGATATTACTGGAGAGCAGGGAAATGTGCCAAACTTGCAACTGCAAGTGAAGCTATCAGGGCGTGATATCATTGTGTTCTGTTCTATTTGGATTGTCAACCATACCGATCTCGACCTTGAGTATTGCAACTCAACAAGCTCGTCGTACAAACGGCTTGAGAACGTACTTAAGTATGTACACCGGCGCCCAGTTTCGGTAGAAGAGCAAAGTGAGAACTTTTCAGCACGGTCGATGTCATTTCGTGGAGAAGGCGCCAGGGAGACCCAATTGGCGCGTCTGCAAAAGGTGAGACCTTCTGCCAACCCAGTTGCCTTAATTGTTGTTATTCGAGAAGCAAAGGAATTGTACAATGCGCAATATTTCGGATCCCAGAGTCCGTACGTACGAGCATCTTTGTACGTTCTCAAGAACCCAAAAGACGAGTATTTGGAGAAGCCTGAGATGGTTGCGATTTGTTCTGCGAGTACAAAACCAAGCCCATCTGGCGCATTGACTCCTCAGTGGGATGGTCGCCTTCAGAACACTTTGCTGTTGCGTTTTCCGCCCGAAGCAAGGACATTAAATTTGGCACGCATTATCATTGAGGTGCGAAATGTACACTATGGATTGGACACTTGCCTCGGAGTCACCGCTGTCAAAGTGAACACTATTTTGAAAGACCGCAAGCGAGCTGCAGCGTTCAATTGGTACAAACTGCTAAAACGTAAGTCGTCACGTGAGCGGAAGGCATCTAAGAACAATCTTGCAAGCATACATCGAGGAGACATCAGCATTTCATTTTCGGTTGGTACATCTCAAAAATTACCTACGGACATAGACACAGTGGAGAGTGGTACGGTAGTTGCTGACGACCAAAGTGCACCCTCCGATTATGACGAAGAAACAATGTCTGATTATCTGGAAAGACAAGAGAGTGAAGACTTTCAGCTCGATGATGTGGAAGTTACCTCGGGATTAGAGGAGCAGCAAACTCTGGGTCCACTTCCGTCCACACGTGCAGTTAGATCGTTGAAACGACTACAAACGCCGTCTAATCACGAGATAGGATTACCTGGAGCCCCAGCTTCCATGCGCGGGCGGCAAGTGTACTCGTTTACAGGTGAAATTGAGACCGCGCGCACACAGGAGTTAATATCGTACGATCCTACATCTACACGAGCTATGGGGGCTATGATGCTAAACGGGTCGCCATCAAAACCAGCTCATAAGGGTAATTCTCACGGGGTTCAGGTGTATTTGCCGCACAACCGCTTTGCCAGTGTCGTAGTTGAGGTCTATTCAAGCTCACTCATGTCGGAAGTCTTTGACCTTGTCTGCATGAAATGCGGCTTCGTGGGTGTCTTAGACATTGACGACTTTATTTTCTACGAACTGGTGCTTCCTCGATTTGTGTCACTTCGGAGTGCCGGGCGACCAGAAGGTGAAAGGTGGTATGGTCAGGCAATTGCGATGACCTCACGGGTTGAAAATAGAGGTCGTCGTCATGGGCTTCACTTATGTCATAATATAACGATAACAACGATTCGTTTGTACGACGAGGCAAGCACAGCTAGCTTGCATCACGTTACTCCCCGCTCGCTGGTGACGAGTTCCAAGCGTTCAAACCCTGCCCAAATCCGTCCGATGCCTTGGGGCGACGTGCTTCCCTACAGTTCGGGAGGAAAGCACTGGGAAGTCTTGCGAATCAAATCGCGATCGTCGTCATGGTCTGATGTCATTCGTCTCAACCGCAACGCCATGGGAAATTCTGGGGTCGCTCAAGTCATTAGCCTCGCCAATGAAGTCTATGGCCAGGATGAAGAAAGTGATCTTCGAAAAGGAAGCCAAGAAGTAGCCTTGTGGAGCTATTACGGCAGCGGACGCTTTTCAGAGACAATTATAGCAACTATAGTACCTCGCTACATTTTGATCAACAAAACGGAAGAAACCATCAAGTATCGACAACTTGAGGTGCCTAAAACCTTTCGATTGGCTGCTAACGAGCTCATGCCGTTCCACTGGCCGAGCGCATTAAGGGAAAAACTACTGGAAGTGACTTTGCTGCACAAGTACAGCTGGAGTGGAAGTTTCCGTATAAACTCTCTTGGGACCACGTACTTGAAACTCCGCGACCGGGATGACCCCTCTCGCATTTACATTTTGCAATGTCAGATTGAACTGGTTGGCGGTTCGGTCGCGTTAATTTTCCGAGGAGAGTCAAGGCGTTTTCCCCCGTACAGAATCGACAACATGACATCCTTTCGGATACGCTACAAGCAGACAAATTGGGGCGAGGACAAGGATTTTGACGAGCTGCTGCCTCGGTCTTCTTGCCCTTACTCGTGGGATTATTTGCATGGCACCGAGGGTAAGTCGTCGTCCTCTAACCAGGATCCTGCCTTCCCAGGAAACTCAACCTCATCGACTCGTTCACTTCAAGTGAGATTTATGCGAGTGACGTCTTCCTCAAAGACTAGCGGAGACTCGGACAAAGATGCTGTGGAGATTCGCGAGTACAATCTAGACGAAATGGCTACTCACAAGCGCATTCAGCTTCACCGTTCTCTGCCGGCAAATCTTTTTTTGAAACCGGAGCAAAAGGGATATTTACTTAAGAAGGATAGCATGCTCAAGTGGAACCGGAAGTACTTTCGGCTATACGAGCATATGCTGTACTACTTTGCCAATGAGACTGACCAAATACTCCTGGGAGTAGTGGACTTGCGAATAGGTTCTCATGTGCCGGGTGTCGGAGGGGTCGCCATTTTTGAGAAGGCTGCGGAATCTTCGTCGAAAAGCAGTTTTATCTCGTTAAACGGTCTCGTTTCGTCAATTTCAGGCAGTCTGTTTGGCGGAGGTTCAAAGCAGCTGGGAAAGGATGGAGGTGATGACGACGATGACGATAGTGACGATAGATCGAGGGAGCTGGTTCGATTTGCAGTGTCGTTGACTACATCAAGTCTGCTATGTGAATACTCCGAGAAGTTTGTGGACATGATGACTGTGAATGGAGCGGCTGTACCGGATGGTGTTGCGCGTAAGGGCTTTTACGTGAATGGACAGGACCTTGTGGATTTTTTAGTGACAATAATGAGTACCCAGACGAAGGCTCAAGCATTTACTACTGCACAAGAGATGATGGAGCTTGGCATACTGAAACAAGTGCACATACTAAGCGATGGTGATGCTCGCCGACAGGCACCAATGAGAACCTTTCAGTGCTCCAAAAAGGTGTGGTATAGTGTTGAGTCGAGCATTTCTTCAACCGACTCAGATATGGACTCTGAGGACAGTTTGAGTATAACTACACCGCAAGACAGTGAAGCATCGACAATCTCCAATAAGTCTAATGCAAAGCCAATCACCGTCGGGCCCCAATTTTCGATTATTACGCCAACCAAGTGCTACGATTTAAAGGCGAAAAATCCCAAGATCGCTAAGATCTGGGTAAGGCGGCTTCGTCTTGCTACTCAAGGTAGCCACAATAATGAAATCGAGGAACTTTCGGAGGATATGCCGATGCCTAAGACAATCCGTTCACAGCGAGATATCCTTCCTCAGGTTCAAACTGCAAAAACGTATGTAAACGTTCGCATCCGTGCTGATGGTCCTACAAAAGTGTTGGAGCTATTTGAAGGTGGTGAGGAAGATTTCGATGAAAAGGAACATACATACGAGTCATCAAGTGTGGCATCAGCGTCATCTGATTCCCCTACAGCTAGTGAAGCTTCTACTAACGCCTTCGAGTCATTGACGTCTGGGATGGCATTTCATCTGCGTGTGGATGGAGTTGGTATCTCGTGTGTCAACGAGCTTCCGATGGAGATAGTGTACATTTATTTCGGTGGAATAAGCCTCCACTATTTGCGCGTAAATTCAAAAATGCGTATGAACATCACGCTGGACGATTTGCAGATCGATAATCAGAGTGAAGAAGCGACTTTCACGAAATTACTCTGTCCCCGATTCGAAAGTGTCACTGCAATCGCATCCACTCCTGCTCGGAAAAGAACCGGTGACATTGATGAAGACCTTGCAGAGATGGTCAGTCAAGGCAGAGGAATGGTTAGTGACAATGTCAATGATGAATCCCAGGGAAATGTAGGCCTGATCTCCAACCAGAATATCTTCAGTTGCGCTGATTGCAAGTATCACCAGGCGAATGTTGCTGCAATGCACTTCTGTTGTGCGTGGTCTAACGAACAGGCCAACACTGATTATTTTAAGCATTGTTCGTTCTGGTTGTATCCAGTCATTACCCAGTTGGACGAAGATCTTTTGGTGTCAGCCCGAGCATTTGTGGCGTCGGTATGTTTTTCAAAATAGTGGGCTAGATGCTGTAGACATGTGCTGAGTTCTGACGTTTTCTTTATATGTGACTTGTGGTGTGCAGATGTCTCAGTCCTGGGGACAGAACCGGTCACAAAATCGTAGCGGTGAGATACGAATGGAGACCATTCCAATTGAAACGATGCTGGAGGCTCTGACGGAGTACAGGGAGAATACTCGTAGTGAAGAGCTTAATCCACTGAAGAGTCTGGAATCGTACACTACAACCTCGTCCACGGAGGCGCGAAAGGTGTATTTTGCTTTATTGCACATCCATCCGATGGACTTTGATATCACATTTCGCAGTGATGTATTCCAGGCGAAAACGACTATAAGCCTTCACGAAGCGGCTAGCTTTAAGAAGTCGAAGTTAGGAGGTAGCCATGCCGACGAAAGGAAGTGTTTAACTTCTGGGCCGTCCTCGGTTGGTGATAGTAGCGTGGATGACTCATCATCAATGACCTGGGCGATTCCTAGTCTGACGATGCACGTGCCCGATCTTGATAACGCCCCTGTGCGTTTGAACGCTCTGATGATTGAACACGCCTTCGGAACGAGCGATGACCTGACTCGCCGAGTGTCGAAGTATTACACCCGCCAATTATGGAAGCAGCTTCACAAAATTTTGGGATCATTTGACTTCTTAGGAAATCCTGTCGGACTCTTGGACCATATTGGTACGGGAGTGCGCGACTTTGTCTATGAACCTCTGGAAGGGTTGAAGATTGGTGGCAAGGGCTTCAGCAAAGGCTTGGCAAAGGGCACAGCTAGTTTGATGTCAAATACAGTGGATGGTACCTTTGACGCAGCCAGTAAGATTTCGGGTACCTTTGGGCAAGGATTCGCAAACTTGAGTCTTGATGATCACTACCAACAGAATCGTGCTCGCGCACGTCGACGCCACGTCCGTGGGCTACGCGAAGGACTGGTGCAAGGCTCACGAGAACTTAGTCTCGGTGTTTATGAGGGTGTTGCTGGCCTTGTGTTAAACCCTATGCGAGGCGCGCATGAGAGTGGTGCTGTAGGCTTTGTGCGAGGCACAATCACCGGAATCATTGGGCTTCCTGTTAAGCCTGTAGCAGGTATCTTTGATTTTGCATCACGTGCTACTCAAGGCGTGCGTAATCGGTCATTGCAAAACGGAGAGAACATGCAGCGCGTCCGGCGGCCACGTGTGTTTGGACGCTACAATGAGCTTAAATGTTATAAAGAAGCTGATACGATTGCCTATGAACTGCTCAAGAGGGTCGGTGGTGATCGGCTGTCTGGTGAGAAGATCGTTTTCTATAATGAGATCTTGCAGTCTGTGAGTGCTGCTGATCTCACACGCGAAGCTCGAGATCGACGGCGTAGTGGCAGCGTTGGAAATGCCAAGTCAAAGAGTAACAATGACTCAACCTGCCAGCGCACGAAGTCTCTGCGGCGAACCCTCCAGGAAAGCGATGAACGTCTTCGCGCTGCTGGCGAGCCTCCAAATGCAGGTACCGGCGAGACAAGTGGACGCAAGCTTCGGTATGAGGTAGTATTTAATCAGAAGAAGCTAGGGATGGATCTGGAGACGGACTTCTATTGCGAAAACGTGACAATCAAGGCGATGAATGAGACCGCTCGATCAAAGGTTAAGGCTCGCGGGCAAATTGCCCCTGGACAACAGGTGTTACAGGAAGGAGATTATCTCATTGGCGTTGGCGGTGTGGATGTACGTGGCATTGGCTTTCATGAAACGTTAGCGCTATTGCGTGGCACATCTCGGCCTCTCACAGTTCAGTTTGAAAGTGCCGAGGAACTGATGCAGGATATCACTACGCCTAAGCCCAGGAATGTGGAAGAGGGAGAAGTTGAGTTTGGATCGACGAGTAGGGCGCGATTACGTCGGCTATCCTTAGCTGGACCAGGATCTGGAAATGACGCAGTGGATGAGTCGCTTACAAACCTAAAGGTTCAGGTAACACACTGGTTGATTGTGACGGAGCAGCGCGTTCTTTACATTAACGTAGGGTCGCTAACCAAGCCTGTAGTAGAATGGATGACACCATTGCGGTACATCTACCGTGTCGAGTGGCAGAAGAGTGCGGCACGGATATGTCTTCACCTGAGTGTCGGTGTGGATAGTTTACCAATGGGTCCGCGTTTGCGGCCGTCTCTCAAGACATATGATGGTCACGAGCGAGACATGAATGTGTTTTTGGATGTTATGTGGCACAGCTTTGGCTCGTCAACTGCTGAAGAGCAGGAACTCTGGCCTTCGGACACAAGTCTCAATGGTTATTTGCTGAAAAAGGGTGGATTCACAACGGTACGTCGCTGGTTTGTCTTGAGTCGCAACTGCCTCTACTATTTCTCGAATCGCAAGCAGCTACGCGGTATCATTCCGCTTGGTCACGTGCGACTGGAGGCGGACGTGGGTGATGCACGCTGTCTACGTATTACGAACGCTACTCGGTCGGAACCGCTGGTTACACTGCAGCTGGACAGTGGTCAAGTCGTTGAGCGCGTGCAGAGCGAAGTGGTGCTGGTAGCTGCTTCCACGCAAGAGCTCGAGATGTGGCAGTCGTCCCTGGCCCACGCCGCTGGCAAAGGTATGCGTCATTCTCGAGGCACGCGCTTTTTTGTACCAACTGCTGCATCTCGACTCGAGGTCGGGACTCAAGAAACTCCAGATTTTGTCACCAAGCCATTGACTGACGCTCTTAAGAAGACGGTCGAGGTCTTCAACATTTAGGTATCCTAAACCAATTGACACATGGCTACATACTTGACACATGGCTACATAATTGACATATGGCTACATACTGACAATCGACTCGGTTTTGAGTACGAATTAAGACAAAAGTATCCGTTGTTTTAAGGTAATTTTTAATTGTAAAATGCTGGAAAAGCTCGTGTCGACACGCCTTTTCTGGGCACTTGTGATGGGTTTTCGCATCTGGAATGCGCTCTTTGTACGTACGTCGTTCAACCCGGACGAATACTGGCAGAGCACGGAAGTAGCGCATCGTCTCGTCTTTGGTTACGGCTATTTGTGCGTGATATAAAGTCTCCAACTCTTCAACTAAATAACTTTATTGTATAGGTATTTAGTGTTATTTCCTGACGTTTTCTTGGTCTTTTATGGTAATTTGCAGGACATGGGAGTGGCAAAAGGATGCTCAGCTGCGTGGGTTTGCGCATCCAGGTCTATTTGCAGGACTCTACAAGCTGCTAAAGCTCCTCGTATGCTGCTCAAATTGTTTTCTTTAAGGTTAATTTTATGCTTAATTTTAAGAATGTGATGTTGTAGAATTTAGACTCAAGATGGGCGGTGGCGTACGGCCCACGGCTGTTTCAAGTGAGCTTTTCTAGAGCAAGAATGGAAGAGAGTGATGGGGTTGACTCATTGACGTGAGAATTGTAGGGAGTTTTGTCGGCTGCCAATGACTTTTGCCTGTACAAGCTGTCACACAATTATTTGGACGCCAAGGCAGCCAAGTGGACGCTGCTGTGTCAGCTCTTTTCTTGGTTTATCTTTTACGTCATGGTCCGTCCATTCTCCAATTGTGTCGAGACTTTGTGTACCACAGCAGCACTAGCATTTTGGCCATGGAAGTTTTTAGTACGTCGACGAAGGAATTATGCGGAATCTTTTGTGGATTGAATCACCGATACTTGTTTGATGATGACAGGAGGATCAAGCTGAGAAGAAGAAAACAGATGATATATCTCCAGTCAAGCGCAGCAATCGCACATTAGCGCTGGTATTTGCAGCACTTGGTGTGCTATTTCGTCCGACAAATGCTGTCATTTGGCTATATCCTGGACTTGTGCACTTCTTGCAGACCCATGATCGGGCACATCTCATGTTGAGTGTGGTTTTGCCAATCGCGCTTGTCACTACGCTGACAATGTTGTGCATTGATCGTCTTGGATATGGCGAATGGACTTTTGTCCCTTTCAATTTCTTCAAGTTTAACGTTCTAGAGGTAACCGCATGATCTGCTATATCGCGAAATATGTTTTTGGCTAACGCATCTCCTGTGAATATGCTTGTTGAGTTCAGAGCAAAGACAAACTATATGGCGAACATCCGTGGAATTGGTATTTCTCACAGGGCTATCCTGCCATTGTGGGCACAACTTTGCCGCTTGTCATTGCCGGATACCTTACTGTACCGGCAGGTTGAGTTCCATGGTTTTGATACTTGAATCTCAGTTCTAATCTCTCTTGTCAAACGATCTTTTTCAGCCTTCGAGGAAGGACCTCGGGCGCACGATTATGTGGACGCTTTTCGTGTACAGCAATGCTTCCCACAAAGGCAACCTGCGGACTCTTATATCTTTTCCATCTAAACTGCTCTAACTCTGCGTGTGCTGTGTTTATAGAATTCCGATTTGTGCTCCCGCTGCTTCCACCTGCGTTCGTGTACGCTGGATACTGCCTGTGCAAACTTGAACGGAGGCTTTATGTTCAGGTTGGTGAGAGAACGCAAAGGAACCTATTGCGACTCGCTATACTTTTATTAGTTGTGCCGAATGTGCTCGTTGCGTACTATCTTTCTCGAAGCCACCAGGTGCGTTTGCTTGTAACTCGATGCAAAATGTCATTTTTTGCCTCACTTCACTCGTGCAGCGTGCTCCCGTAGAAGTAATGGACTACCTAGCGGATCGCATTCGAGGTAAGTGTAACCTCTACTACAACTACGTTGTGTGTGCTGTCAAAAAACAAAGCAATAAGCTTCTATATTCCATCTTCATTCGTTGTAGAAAATCGGGATGTGTCGATCCATTTTTGGACTCCTTGCCATGCCACACCGTACTACAGCTTTTTACACCAGAATACCTCCATGTGGTTCCCAGATTGTTCACCAGCGTAAGAAGTCGAGGTGCTGTGAGTGGAAATGCGCTAAACAAGAATGTATTGTGGATGTAGTAACCGTGAGCGACCCGAAGGGTGCGAGTCGCACCAACTTGAACGCGACCCAAGGCTATTCCTTACGAAACTCTACCATTTATCGCCATCAAACGGTCAAGCTAACGATTCGTTGTTCTTGGCGCTCCCGACATACGTCGTGATGTACTCCACGATGGCTGCCAAAATCAGACCGCTCCTAGCTGACATTCGCTTTCTCGAGGTACGCTCGTATTGATCCCTTGTCGTTGTGCTGGTCACGGTCCAACTTTGTCTTCCTCTTTTCTTGCCTGCAGACAGCATCATTCTTCCACAGTGACGTGAGTGGAGATGCAGATTCCTCAGAAGTCGTGTCGAGCATGTTGGTGTACAAGCGCGAGTAGTGGACTAAAGTGTTAACAATAGATTGGATACCGAAGCTTGGAGATGGAAGCGGTTGGCGTGGCCCCAATGTTTACATTTTCTGGCAGCAGAGTGGCGGCAGTATCTAATGAATGACGGAAGTGACCAGCTCAAAAGACGATCAATTGCTTGACGTGAGGTTGAGTTGTCCGTTTGTTGATCTGATCTAGTGGTGTTGCAACTGTTGCTTCTGCATATGCTGACATCTGCGGTTGTCGATGCGTGCGTTCGACGGATAAGTGGACGAGCTTGGATTTATTTAGTTGGATTAAACACAAGCTGGGCACGCAGGAAAATGAATAACGTGTCGAGCTGAACCTTGAGGTCAAAGCAGTACCTTTCTTCTTCTGATGCAGTCCATTTGGCATACGTAAAGCAAATGCAGTGGTACCTGTCATCATATGCTTAGCTGCGTCCAGACTAACGACGTCGTCGGTCATCGCGCGTATCACGGTCGTAGCCTCCACGGCCACGATCGCGGTCGTCGTATCGCCCATGCCCTCGGTCCCGATCATCGTAGCGACCACGTTCTCTATCGTCATAGCGACGCGAGAACCCGCCGCGGTCTCGGCTACGACTCCGTCGTCCTCTGTCACGACTACGATCTCTGGTAGATCGATCGCGTCCACCATACTTTGCGCTAGCAAGTCTCGGTCCAAGGTCTGATAGCGATAAATTTATAGCAGCAAAAAAAAACTTAGCAATCCTGCCATTCTCTCTCGGATCTCTCCTCTACTCACACTGTCCAGGCGTTTTCTCGTGTCCACGCTTCCGTTTCGCATGCTCCACCCTCATCTTCCGACCCTGTACTTCTTGACTACAATTACAGCCACAAAGACACCCAAAAAAATGAGCTCTCTCTCTCTCATCAACAAACGTCTTTACTCCAACTCCAGCTCCACCTACTCATTCAATTCTTTTACTGCATCCTCTGCATCGCGTACGTCATCAAACGTTACAAATCCAAACCCCCTAAACAACGTATCATAGAAACCCCCACATCAAACACTCACAACCCCCATGAGCTTTTTCGCAGTCCATCCTTTCCCAATTAGTATCACTCGTTTGTACCTCGATTCTCGTGTCACGGGGTCCACAATCACTTCGCACTTGCTCACGCGTCCAAATTTTGTAAAAATTTCTTCCAATTCCACTTGTCCCACTCTTGTTGCTAGATTAGCAACATACAAATTGTTGCCTGGATTCTCCACGTCTTTTAAAGGGGCGGTTCCAGAAGAACGAGCGAGTGAATGACTGCGACTGCGTTCATGGACGTCCTGCATCTCTGTATCCAGTCGTACACTTGTCTTGTCTTCAGCTTGCACCCCTGGAGATGGCGAACGACTACGACGCGGCGATGGGGAAGCACGATCCGACATCTGACGTGTCTAAAGTCAGGAATCTTTGAGATAGCGTGGAGTCACGAAAGGATACGTTTTTCGAGCGGGTTCGGACGGATGGCACGAAATTAAAGTCGACCAGTTTAATACTTTAATCAAGTGATGTATCACCCTTTTCAACGTGACACCTCGTCCATTCGATTGGAGCAAAAAAAAAACAAAAAACCAACGTTTGTTTTTATCCATTTTGTCGTCAGATTGTTGAAATAGGTGTGGCCACATCACACACATAGAGAATGTCGTCCACATCAACGTCACTCTTTTGAACTTCCAGTGACATCATTTCAGTGGTCAATAGATTGGAATCATGGTAAAGACTCGACCGGCTCATCTCAAAGGTAAAACTGCTGGACGGAACGTCTATAGTGAAGGCAAGAAGATGACAGCCGAGAAGAAAAAAGCCAAGAATAAAATCAAAGCAAAAGGAAAAGCGAAACACGCAGCAAAAGTTGCGAAAGAGGGGAAAAAACGATTGGCTAAAAATGTAATTAACCAAAGTCAAGTACTGGATGAGGAAGATGATGGGTTTATTGAGTTTCAAGCTGATGAAAACGAGCATAAAAACAAGGATAAAGAGCTTCAAAATGAGACCATTCATGCTCTGATGCTGGAAACACGGCCCTGGATGAGAAACCGCAAGGGTTATTTCAATACTTGCAATGTCTACGAGTGTCTACACGAAGAAATTATGGATTTTGTGAACTTTATGAGCCCGACAGAGGAAGAACTCAATAGTCGAGCAAAGTTGATTGATGACATGCGAGAGATTGTCAAAGAGTTGTGGCCTGGAGCTACTGTCGAGACTTTTGGGTCGCACTATACGCAGATGTTTCTACCTCAAAGTGACATTGACATGGTCCTCTTTGGAGTTCCGGAAGGAAAAGAGCCATTGTATAAATTGGCACAGTGTCTTGAGGAGAAAGAGCTGGTAAGTTACTTGGAAGTGATTGATAAAGCTCGGATTCCTATTGTTAAAATGGTGCACAAGACCAGTGACATTCACGTAGACGTGTCATTCAATGTGGCGGGTGGCCTGGCAACTGGAGATCTAGTCAAGCACTATATGCGTGTGTACCCGTCGTTCCGTCCGCTGACGCTTGTGCTGAAGTGCTTTATGGCACAACGAGGACTAAATGAGACGTATTCAGGTGGTATAGGATCTTTCTTGCTGCAGATGATGGTGGTCAGCTTCTTGCAGCATTATGGACGCGCATTAGGTGCTGAACACAATGATCCGAAATTTAACAATTTGGGTCTTTTGTTGGTGGAATTCTTTACGTTGTATGGACGTGATTTCAACTACACAGAGCTTGGTATCTCTGTGCGCAATGGTGGCTCGTACTTTTTCAAGGAAAATCGTCATTGGTGTGATGCTGGAAGACCTTTCCTCATTGCCATGGAAAACCCTAACGAACCGAGCCTGGACATTGGCAAAAACTCATATGAGATGCGGACCGTCAAACGCTCTTTTGACTATGCCCGCCAGGTACTACAAAACGAAATATACCGTCACGGTCACTTCAGTGCTTTTCCTGGTAGCATTCTGGGCACCATTATTCAGGCAGATAGCAATCTGTTGAAGAGAGACCCACCTGATAGTTTTGGCTATGATATTCTGCACCACGACCCTGAAAAGACGGCAGAAATTCGCAAGCAGTACGAGATGCGGCGAAATGAAGAAGCAAACAAGAAGCGCGCAATAGAATCGACAAAAGGCACGCGCCAAAATGATAGAAGTGAGCCGCCCTACAAACGCTGGAGAGGACGCTCAAGTCGAGCATACTAAGTGACCTAAGGTTTGTAGATCATTGAGCAGAGCATCATCGCAAACTCGATAGTGCTTTGCATAAGAATGTACTGATACCTTTTTTAGATTTAGGTACTTCGCATCGAAGCTTTGTTCTCGTAACGACTTAGAGTACTTGTGCGACGTCATTTTGCGAGCGATTTGGTGGTACTCAGCCAGGTAGGGGGAAAAATGAAGCGTTGCCTCAGAGATAGAAGAAGCTCTACGTTTGTAGCACACTGTGCTGTAAACGTCGGGCTTCTTGAATCGCTTTTGAATCTAAAACCACGTTTTGTGTTACGTAGATATCAATCACAATGTCATCGCAACATGAAGCCGATTCGTTCAGCCCTTATGCGTTTGTCAATAACTCGAGAGAAGCTGGCCTATATCTAATAAACTTTAGTGCAGACGCTGAGTTCGGGTTCTTGGGCTTCCACTTCAACGCGTTCTCTTTCCTGTAGTTGCGTTGACCTTCCAGAGTCATCGATTCCATCTTGACAAATTCGTGCATGCAAGCTTGACTACACGCCCCAACCATGCTTCTCGCACACTGTAAACACTGCAAGATCAGGCCATGACACATGACATTGCTGCAGTTGGTATGACGATTGCAAGGCTCAGCGCACTGGAAACACTGACCCAGTACATCGTCTGTTACCTCCTCCGACTCTGTCAAGTCGCCCACACATCGTTGATCGAAGACAAAGTTCTTTCCTCTAAACAGAGACATCACCTCCTGGACATTGTCATCATCGGTCGTCGTATCAGCACCAACACTCACACAGCGAGCACGCGCACGCGTTGCCGCTTGACGCTGCTCCTTCAAGAAATGCACGTAGTTCACGATCCCGCCGTGCAGCTTTTGCACATTTGAGATACCCTTGTACTGCGTCAGATACGCGCCCACCTTCTCGCAGCGAATACCTCCCGTGCAGTACATCATGATCTCTTTCGGTTTCTGTCCGTCATGTTTTTTCGCATGTTGTTCTAGAATCTCATCCAGCGCATCGAACGTGTCTCTGAAAGTGTCGACCATAATCCTCGTTGCTCCGTCAAAGCGTCCGATCTCGTGTTCGTAAAAGTTGCGCACATCGAGCACAAGTATGTCTGAGTCTTGTAAGTCGTTTTTAATCTTGAGCTTGTGATGCCACTGCTCCGGTGGTAACGAACGACCGGAGTTCTGCAAATTTAGCTCGCCACCTTGGAAACCATCATGCAGAATCTGATTGCGAACACGAACATCCAGCTTGCAGAATGGCTCAGCTGGTTTTACTCCGTCTTTACTTGCGTTACGCAGTGCCTTGTCTTCGATCAACTGGCCGTAAAAGAGCTTTGCATCGCGGAGCAAGCGCGGGAACGACCGCTCGAAGACAGTCACTACTTGTTCCGGCACCACCAACTGGCCATTGATACCTTCTTCCGCAATGTAAATCCGTCCCACAATACCTAGTTTCTCCCATTGCTCGCTCATTTCTCGACGGAGCTTTGGCAGCTTCGTCTTATCCAGCGGTGTATAGTTGTAGAGACTGATGTATTGTCGACGGTGAGATGTCTCGGTGTCTTTGTAAGTACTCACCACCCGACTTTGCAACAGCGCATACTGCTGATTCATCACAATCAAAGATCGTTGCGCCACGAACGGATGCAATCGTGAGACCCTGAGACGTGGTACAAGTCGCACAGGAGCACACAAACCACGCATCATTTTCATCTTCTTAATACACAAAGTCATCATTTGTACTTGGAATTTGTATGAAAGAAAGGATGCAGTCGAATAGGTGGTTTTCAACGAGCTAGAAAAACTGGAGCTACGGAGCGATGCTACTTCGATGTCTTGAGCCATTATATCGTCCATTTCAAAGGTGGGCATTGACTCAATCCGATTGTCTCGAGTCTCGACAGTATGTGAGTTTGTACAATTACGTGGCGTTCGACGAGAGCGAATTGTCAAAGCTGCGTCGCCGTCTACCAAGTGACTGGAAGGCGTTGGGTGTGAGTCGCAGGGTCGACTTGTCCTCGGAAAAGATCAATGGACAATTGGAACTACCTCAGTACCATGTGACAACGCTCTCGACTTCATTTCCGACAGATTTCATAAGGCGTAACATGTTTTACGGCCATTCGCAGTCATGTACAAATGCCGACCATCCCTTTTCCAAGCCGACCGTAAAGATTCGGAAGCAAGTAGTGCATGATGGTGTCCAGGGTAAAGAGCTAAGTTTGCAGAACTCCAGTCGTTCGTTACCAACGACAACGCAACGCCAACAGCAAGCAACTTGCTGGATGCCGGTGATACCGAATGCGCTGTACGTCAGCAAACGACCACAAGCTCCACTAGCAAGAAACTCTCACACGCGTCACTTCACTGCTTCAAATTGTCTCTACAAACATATCGGCAATTGTGAGCTTCAGACAGCGTACGTTTACGGTCAAAGCAGCTCTCTCGCTGACGAAGCGTTACTTCGAGACTTGCGGGTGGAGACGACACGAAATTGGCCCAAAGCGGAGCAAGTGATTGACGAGATGCAGGGAAAATTTCTCTCTTTCCTCGTTCAGACTACAAAGGCCCAACGCGTGCTGGAGATCGGTTGCTTTACAGGGTACTCAGCATTATGCATCGCCAATGGCTTGGCCGCGGACGGCTCCCTCGTGACGTGCGACATCGACAGTGCCGCGATGCAATTCGCACAGAGTTTCTTTGACAAAAGCTCACATGCAGACCAAATCACCGCCGTGAACCAAGACGGCCTCGAGTATTTGAAAACTGCTGCCCTGTCTATTAGTGCAAAACAGCAGCCGTTCGACTTGATCTTTGTAGACGCCAACAAGTGCAAGTACCGAGCATACTACGACTTCATCTTGGAGCACAAGGTGCTCCATCCATCAGGCTTGCTGGTCTTTGACAATACTCTGTTTCATGGTCGCGTCGCTGCTTGTGCTCATGGATTGGCAAGCAGCAAAGAGCGTATCGCCCATAGCTTGGCCGACTTTAACCATTACGTGGCGCAAGACGTACGGACGACGCAGGTCATTGTACCATTATGGGACGGCCTCACATTGATCCAATACAACAAGAAGGAAACAATTGAAGCTGATAAAGCAAGTGACGCTTGATGGTTCCTCATCGCAGTGATAACTTGGCTACGTGTTTTGCTCTGCTCGGCGTACCGATTCGCACGTGAGCATGATGGACTCGTCACCTGTAGCAAACATGTGACGGGATCTGATACCAGTCTCTACAGTTATCGTTGTGGCTAAGTCGACGGTTGTGGTGGTGAGCACGAGTGCGACGAGGAGGCAGCGGGGAAAGCATCAGCCAGTTGTGGTGACCACGAAACAAAACGATGGAAGTCCTAGACACTTTTGGTCGCTATACATGACACGCTAGTCGACGTGAATGCGCAAGTGAAGGAGCAAATCATCAGCCTTGAGTATGGGAAGCACTGTCGGAGTAAACTGGATTATTGAGCCGTTCCTCGAGAATGGAAGATGCGAAAATCCCCACTTCTTTTGACTGGTGTACGTCTTTCTGAGAGTATCTACATGTGGATAAGTATGGGAGGTTGTCAAAAACTTGTCAGAAACTTGAAGTACTGGCGTAGCGTGCAGCAATTTTGAAGATGCTATCTAGGCATCTGACTAGACATGCGGCCTTCGTCACTGGTATAATAGTACTCTTGTCTTGATCTGTAGTTAATGTTGTGCGCACGATAGATTTCCAGCAATGTCTGACCTCTTCGAGAGCAAACGTGAAATATTAGAAGAATCATTGGTGGTGTTATAAAGAGCAGGCGTACCAAGGCCGCAGTGGTATCGCACGTACAAGGTGGTATCGTCAACGAGACTCGCGTAGAAACGGTATCCAATACGGCAATTCAATACGTCAAGAGGTGAAAAAGTCAATTCCGTCCCAAGTCCTCCTTACCCATGTCTATTTTGCTGTTAGGCCGTCATAGTGATGGCATCCGATTTGACGTTCGTGTCTCAAGTAGAAGGGCTTCCTCCATTTCGCCGCACCTTTGAATCCCTCCTCGCCTGAGCACACGCAACCTCGAGCAACTTGCTTGCACAGCCTTGCGCGCTAATGACTGGCGCTTCACGAACACTACGCACGCTCCCTATGTGCCCCAGCAATTTCCACGTATAATGATAAAAAATATCTAAAATGCAGAGAACACGACGACGCCGAGAGCATCGCCCACTCCTCAGCGCCTCCCATGCCCAGGTCACACCATTGTTCCAGTCAGTCGTCTCGTTGCATTGCTTCTTCCAAACTCACTTCAATGACCAAGTGACAGACCAACCGCCTTGCTGAAGCCGTAGCTACGACATCACTTGCCACACCAACCACTCTGCAGCCCCAGGCACACACCGCGAGACCAAGCAAGACCCAGGCATGATGCGTGCATCCTCGCAAAACCAACTACGCATCACCATAGCCTTCCACCACCTCGTTATTGCGCCTACTTGCTCTCACTATCACTAGCGGGAGTAACTGTTGTCGCTTTCACAGACACAGTTTGCGGATCGGTCTTTACCACATCAAGGAAGTTGCGGCCACCCCACGCACCTGACTTTGGAAGAGTCTCATCCCCTATCGGAGCATTTTTAGGCGCGCATTCGGCAGTCTTAACCGCCTTTTTAACAAGCTTCTTCTTCTCCTCCTTGACAACACTTTTCGAGGTGGTCTTTGAAGTGGGCTGCTTCTTCGGTTCAATAACTGAAGTGGAAGCTGGCGTGCCGTTAATAACAGCTGCAGCGTAGCCGACAACCTTTGCAGGTACAGATGCCGACTCTGTTGACGCAGGCACAGCAACAGCTGGCTTAACAATGGGAGCAGCGTCAGTAGAGGCAGGTGCAATATCCGAATTCTGCTTGCGCTGCTCACGAGCCTCCTTTGTGTAGTCCTCACCGTACATCATGCTTTCATAGTCAATGGATCCAACCGAATCACTTCGGATTGGTCGTCCTTGACGCATAGCATCTCGAGCTTGCTCAATACTGTATGTGCGCTGATTGCGCAGCAAGTCCGGGTGTGCCTCGATGGTAAGAGCAGCCGGATGCGCTGCATAGTCCATTTTTCCGTCGGGCAGCATGCAATCCTTCTCATCCATGTTCTTAACAATTTCCATGATGTCCTCGTGAGCGTACTTGTATATAATCACTTTCGACGTTTCATCCTTCTCCAGGGCCGTAGGGAGTGGAGGGAAGTTCGCTGCGTTCAAAACAGGTTGGCGTTCAGCAGAAACAGCAGCAGCCTTTTTACCATTGCTACTTCCGTTCGTCTGCAGTGAAGCCGTCGCCTTCGAACGTTTTTCCTTGTTCTTGCGAAAGCTACCTGATCCCCGTTGCTCAAAGCTGCCGCTCTTAGCGCGTCCTTCCTTCTGCTGGTACGCGCCAACATTATTTGACCGGTTCTGTCGGCCTTGTCCACGACCAGCAGCAGCGCCACCACGCAGGTTGTTTCCTGCATATCGGCTGTTTTCAGCCCCGTTGTTGTTGCCGTAGTTTTGATCCTCACGCGGGTTCACTGAGTTATATTGGACGCCGTAGATGTCATAGTAGCCCATATTGGGCGAGGAGTAGTAGCCGCGGCCGCCATACGGTGCACTTACGCCGGGAGCGATGACGTTCTCTGCGGGCTGCGCGGGATAGAAAGACTTGAGTACGTTTTCTGATTTCAAACGGGCCTTTATCGCAACGCCATTTAATGTTTTGCTGCGCAGAGCAAGCAGCGTGTTTACTGCTTCCGACTCCGAGGTCATAGTCACAAACCACGTGTCTCCAACGTCGCTACGCACACTAACAACCTTGCCACAGCCTTCAAAAATAGCCTCAACTTCTTCCGGCTTCGTAGAAGACGGGATCTCGCGCAAAATAATGGTAGTGCGCTCAGATTTAATATTAGGCTTGACCGCGTCCTTGGACGAGTTGAGTGAGCAGATCTGCCCAAAATAACAACAAACAAGTAGTCAGCATTTTGTTTGGTAAGTTGGTTAAAAGTGAACGTTGACGCACCGTCGAGTCTTGCACGGCCTCGACTAACAGTGCCGTATTGTCTGTGAGCTGCTTGATCTTAGAAAAGTTAATGATGACCTCTACAGGCACGTACCTACAAGTCAAAAAAGTTGCACTGATTAATAGCATTCTACTATCACGTAGAGCTATCGAATGATAACGGACATACATTTGTGAATTCATCTGCGAGACAAGGTAGGCATCGTTGGCCAAATTAGCACGTGAAAAATAGAATTCAACCTGGCGTTTAATCGCCTCCTTGAGCTCCGCTCTCTCTGCATATAAATAGATGTCAACAACAAGTCATTTTAGCCTATCCTGATGCAAAGTATCTCTCCATGGGACAAACGCCTTGCAGCTGCACGTACCTGGAGTTTTGGTTTGCTGTTGACCGCTCATCTAGAGGTTTATTAAGTGCTGTATTATTTGTAGTGTGGTGTGCTGTGCGACTGTGCTGGTCTATCAAGGCCCCAACTCGTGTTGGTCTCTTTTGAGTCTCTGCCTGCTGAGTAGAGTGACAGTTGCAGAACAGAGCCAGAAAGTGGAATGGATGGCGACGAAGGTTTTGCCCAGTGTTCGCAGTGTTGTGTACGGAACACCAAATAGGCTGTTTAAGAGGACATCAAGAACAGTACCGGTTATTTCGCATTATACATTGCAAAAAAATAGGCCATGACAAAATGTGTACATTATGGATACAGTGTACTTTACAGGTCGGCCACCATGTCCACGATCCTGGACGCAAGTGCCATCTGGTCCTCAAAACCTAGAGTCCGGAACTCTGGCACGTGTACGAACAGCACAAGGTGCTGTAGACAATGCCAAGAGGAAAGCAAAAAGAGTCAAGCACTGTCGTTGTTCAACAGCTTAACACACCACACGGCAGCAACTCACCCTCGAGTGACCCTTGGTCGCCTGGCGTTTGGCCCACACAAGCGACCGGTAGTAGACGTAGTTACAAATATAACGCCCCGGATCGGTCGAAATACTAACTTTCAGGTGCATGGCCTGCAACGTCATTAGCATCTCCTCGAGAGGCACTTTAGTTGTCATGTTGTCCGGCTCGCCTTCGTGGATCACTTCATCCTTGGCGACGTAACCCCTCTCGTCCGGGATACGGAAGTCCGCCACGTTGTAGCCCACCTGCTCCAGCTTGACTGAACGTGCGACGGCGCTCACTCCAAAGTGCAAAAAGATGCAGGGGCGTCCGCGTTCCTAGCATAGCCAGCGATCAATCAGTCGGCTCAACTGACTCTCAATAGTGCAACCACAAAAACAGTAAGAGCTAGTGTACCTCTGCTCTGGCATACATGTCTGCTAGGGCCTCAACACAAGCTGCAACAGCACAAGAATGAGTATCTTTGGTTCCTATACTACGATATTGTGTACAGGTCAAACGCTTTTGTCGCACCCTCTGCGGACACTTCAAGGACGTGCGACTCCGTCACTTTATGGTGCTCTTCCAGTTTCTTGGCCAGGAATGTCGTGGGGTTCTCCAGGATATCGCCGAACTTGCCGAACCCCGTGACGTACACGTCGCGTTTCTGCGACGGAATTGCCGCGTTTGCAGTGGAATTAGCGGCGTCGTTGTCAGCAACTGTGTAGGCCATCATGTTGCGCGAGTCAGGACAAATTGGGGAGTGACACTGTACTAGCCTTGATCAAACAAAGAAAAAATTACGACGTAGGTAGTCCATGTAGATGCAACCATGTTGAAGCAACTCGGTAACAGCCAGTCACATCAATGCATATCTGGAGTGAGGACTGTCAGCCTTACTTGCTTCTGACATGTACTCGGTGGCTTTGAGCTCGATGGAGCTGCAACTTGAACGGTACTCCTGATTTTCTACCTCATCACTTTGACTACCGGCCTCGGAAACGCAGTAAGTGGCATTAATGGCATCCAGATCGATGTACAGGCCATCAGCTGTCAGTGTAATGTTGTCCTCAAAGTAGTGGTCGACCAGGATATCGCAAGCATGATAGGCTTTCCGAGCGACCATTGTGTCGCTGATGATGCCGTCCTGCCCCGTAAAAAGTACCACAAAGAAAAGGTCTCCTGACAGCAAGTCACTTGTCGACAAGTGGTAGAGAGGTGAGCTTTCGTCGATGATATGAGTCAAGACGTTGCACAAATTGATGATGGGCCAGACGTTGCGTATCTGCATCATCGAGTACAGGATACAGTGAGCGTGGGTTTTTGAAGCTAACGACAAACAAGAACGACATCAGCTTAATACCAGCCGCAATTCATGGGTGTCTCTGCGTCGAAAGCTGCGGTTAAGCACCACTACACTCATCCTACAAAAAAGATTACACACGTTAACCGTTGCTGGCCATTCCAGCGTCAAGCGTGAACTCGTACCTGAAAGAACCCTCAACTATAACTCCAAATTTGCGATTGTTTGCAGCACGAAACATAACAGCGCGATGTGAGTGGAACGAGTTTAGCAGTAGAACGTTGCTGTATAATAGAGTAGACGCTTTTGGAATGGAAAACTTTGCCCACGTGATGCCTGCGCAGAAAATAGAAACGACGATATCAAGTAAAAGGTCAACAAAGCAATAGCGTGAAGGGCAAAAGATATGCAAACCTGTCACTAGTGTTGAGACGAACACACCGGAAAACACCAGCAAAAACACAAAAAAATTGGCAGCGTCGCTATCTTGTCTTGGGCTCAAAGCTCCGTAGCCAACAGTGGAAATCGTCTGGACGCAAAAGAAGAAGACCTCTCCGAACTTGTTTGTAAAACCATTTTGCTCTCGTTGGTCTAATGGATCGTGTATCTATCATAGAGTCAATCAAAAAGTCAAAAGCTGCAGCTTTGTCTTCCAACGTAAGCTTAGCCTTGTTTAACGTACCGAAATGGAAATTAATAGCGCAAGCGTCGCGACAACCCACAAGTAAGCTAGAACGAGAGACAATAGTAGACTGGGCCACGAAGCCTCCAACGCTCGTTGGTAAACTCCTTTCAAAAGAAAACTATGTGAGCGATTCTTCACGCGAATCTTCCGCTGTAAGATACTCATAGAGTGACCCCCAAGCTTTTCACCCCACGCGTATTCGTCATCTAGGCTCCAATAGGATAATAAACTATCTCGCTGCATAACATGCCTTCCAACTTGTGCCATTCCGTTTGAGGAAGAGCTTCCATCCGGTTTGTCTTCGTCACGTTGGCAACCCTTGCTTGCCTCCCTCGCTGCTGCGCCGTCATCATAATCATTACCAAGCTCGAAAGGAGTGTCCTCAACCAGCCTGGATGGGCTCGCACGATCTGCTTGAAAGCACCGTGAACTATGTTGACTTGCGTGCTCGATATCAACATTACCAACTTCATTGCACGATGTCAACAAATCATACTCTTCCTTTTCAGGCGAGCAAGTGACGTCCACATTACTCGAAAGCCCATCATTTAGATCAATCGGAACAGGAGCTACTGCTGATATTTTGCCCAAGTCAAACTTGATAAATTTGTGATGATAGTCCCAGTTAAGCGCAGGAAGAAACCTGGCACCCCACCTCATCGCTTCTTGACTGTATTCTTGTTTCGTATAAACCATGTCGTGGAGGTTTTCGTCCAAGCCGGAAACGAGTAGTATTATAATAAAATCTGAGCGAGCCAGATCATCCAACGTCTTCTTGAAGAATGGACTGCTGCCAGCGATATTGTGGACCAGCTCAACCTCTAGTCTGAAATCACGACCAAAGTGGCACAATATGTTAACTACTTAATCTGGAAAATCTTCAACGCTTAAACAAAGCACCTCAGCGAAATGAGACGGGCTCTTTCTAGTTTCAAGTCGTAATAGCACAGCCTCTTCTCGTCTTGTCTTCCAGTCTTCATGCCAAACAGCATTGCTATAGTTAGCTAGGTTACCATAGAAGCCAGGTGTTATACAAAGCCTTTACCTCTATCCGCATCAGAATTAGCTTAAAGCCAATATCGGTAATATCGCTATTGCTGACACGAGGTTTTTCATTTGCCACTCGAAATCTCATTTCCAATCCGTTCTCTCCTTGGGAAACAGTAAACACCTAGTGTCGAACAAGTCAGCTATCTATAAGGTTTAGCTATCATTGAGACACTTACGTCGCTCAGCAGGATGCGGGGATGAGGTCGCGCAAACTTAACGAAAGTCACGCCAGTCATGAAAGAAGTCAGCAGCATAGATACAAACGACTCAACCATACTAATCCATCGCGAGCAAGCGGAAACTGGATAGAGTACCCCATATCCTGTCGCCAAACACAACAGAGTGTTGTCATTAACTAAGACAGCGCGTGTGGCTAGCTTCAGCTACACGTTCAACATGTTTGCCGGCATGCATTTTGCTAGACTCAGACGTACCAGTGCTTGAAAGCGTTTGTAGACTCAAGTTAAAGAAGTTTCTCGGATTTCCTGGGCTTTCTGGATTCATTCTAGCAATAGAACAATGTTACAATACAGCGTGTGCACCAGCGTGTGCACTAGTGTGTGCAAAGATAAATACCACGCAAACGTATTACCCATTACAAGCTGCAAATAAAAGAGCGAACAGTCCAACAACAAAGATATAGACCCCAACAAAAACGCAAAGCAGCGATATCCAGCCCATCGAGACTAAGTGATACAAATGGCCTAGACTCATTGTTATCGTCAGGACCCAGATCATACAGATGGAACTTGTTCGACGCAGTATATGCACGGTGTCGTGGTCGTACCTGGAAATCGACGCTGCGTCCAGTTCTTACATTTGATCACAGGTAAATTGGGGCGAAGCAGCGGTCTTCCAGACCGGGCCACGTCATCATCAAGTCTTGTGCCCTGCCAAACATTTAGCTCGCAAATCCCGATGCTACCTGCACGAGAAACACACGGGCACAGATTTTCGGCTGAGCGCGGTTGATGCATGTGATTTCACTGCGCTTTGAGACGGCGGTGCCAACTGTGAAATGCGGAGACGTGCACTGCCATAACTGGGACAAGGCCTAACCAAACAAAAGCTGTCAAAGAGAGTAGTATAGTATTTGGGCCAAAAAGGAGACCTATGACCACGTTTATGGGATGACCGTCCTTCGTAGCTTGGCAACAACAGGTGCAATATAGCCCGAGACACCCAATGTTGCTGGATATAGCGCCGAGCTTAAAACAACTGCCGCGGCGTATCCGCCAAGTGCCGATCCCACTTCTTCCACACCAAGACAGGCTAGAATAGGCATTAAGTCCACCCCTTGCTTAATTAGCCCATACAAAGCACATACTACACCCACGCCAGCAAGACGAGAGCCCATCATGTATGCAGCACCGTAGTTGTCGATCACCTCTTTTGCCGTGTCCATGGCTTTGGCCATGATGCCAGATTTTAATATAGCCGACGATGCGGAGGCACTAGTTCGACTGGATTGAAAATAGACACAAACACAATGACACTGTCAATGTCGCTCACTACATGTAGCTACATGCCATACGATCCCTTGTTAGGGAGTACATCACTGTACGTACTTTGGCAAAGCCCTCGTCAAATCTGAAAGCCGCACTCGAGAGAAGGCCGGAAAGGCTTTAGCGACGCCAGCAGCGACGACCAAGTCCAGTGGCAGACGGAAGCGGCGGAACGGGCGACTGGCTGCGAATGCCAACGCAAACTCGGGGGAGAACTCAATGCCCGCCATGGATATTGCACCGTACATGGCTCCAATACTGAGGATATCGGACGCAAAGAGCACGGAAATGGTCTCGCCAGGGTAATTCCTAATCGAGTCGTTGAGTTTATCTACTACGCGATCCAAGATTGTTGTCTTGAGCTTCTGGTCCTTCGAGTCGGACGCAGAGGTACCGAGAGCACGACATACAAAGCCATTGAGACGTATCTGCTGCAATCGACGAGTACGACCGATTGCTAACGAGCCCAAGCTGCCGCATCGTGGGCGCAACGAAAAGAAAGATGCGGCAAGCATGATAAATATGTGACGGCAGAATGGTCACAGTGCGGAATGGTCACAGTGCGGAATGATCACAGTGCGGAATGATCACAGTGCGGAATGATCACAGTGCGGAATGATCACAGTGCGGAATGATCACAGTGCGGAATGATCACAGTGCGGGTGCGGAATGATCACAGTGCGGGTGCGGAATGGTACAGTGTACCCACATGCGACAATACAGCTCAACAATCAGTTGAACAGAGTGAATGTCAATGGAGACCAACTCGTTGTCTGGGCGTGCGAGTAGCATTAGCATCGGAAATAGTGGCGCCTTCACCGTGTCGTTATCGGACGCCGAGTCGCGTCGTCGACTGCTACCTGGCAGTCGCTCGGAGCAATCTAATAACCACGAGAGCAGCCTCCGCTCTAACGTGTCGTTCGTGAGCGCGACGCCTATCGAAGAGTTTGTGGCTAAATACCAGGTGATCAAAGTATCCTGGAGAGGCAAATACGAGCGCATTTTGGCCTTGTCTCCCACGCGCCTCTGCACCATCGACCCCAAGGACTTTGAGGTCACCAACACGTGGTCGCTCACGGCGCTGCTGAGCGTCAGCCTCGATGCCTTGGACGCCCAGGGCTTTGCTCTGTCGCTGAAAGGTCCAAAGAAGGACGAGCAATTGAGGTTGCGCTGTCGTTTTCGGTCCAAATGTCTCTCGGACCTTTACCGGCTCAAGGAGCAGTATCAGCAACGCAATTTGGGATCCGAGACGGGCTTTCAGTGCTCGAAATGGTCGCGGAAGGGGGAAACTTATAGATGTGAACTGAACGTCGGGACGGATGGGGTCACTGTGTTGCAGCCAGGCGTCGTACGCTCCAAGTACTTTTACACGGAGATGGAGCACTTGACGCTGCTCACTGACTCGCAGGACGGATTCGTTATTGGATACACAGGACGCAGTAAACTTTTCTTTAGTCAGCAGAGAGGACAGATTTATCATCGCATTCAGGCGGCGGCTGGGGATATTGGATGTAAGATTCAGGCGAAAGCCAATGTGACGGTGGGAAAGATCCAGGAGGAGAAAGCGTACTACGGTCTGAATAATGGCGAAGCGTTTGTGCAGTTTCATTTGAAAAAAGTGACACCAAAGTACAATGTGTCAAGACAGCGCATTCTTTCGCTGCACGAGAAAGTTTTTATTGAGTTGGATTTGGACAAAAAAGTAATCGCATGCTACAACTACTCGGACATTTACGTGCTAGTGCGAGAGATAAAGAATGCAGAGCAGTTTGAAATTCAGTTCCGCAATGACCAGATGAGGACTTACATGACCAAGGACCGAGATGACATTTTGAGCGCCTTCTACGACATTTGCGTGACCTGTGAGGAAAATCCGGAGTTGTTCATCAGCAGTGCTGTAAATCATCGAGGGCTACGCTTGCTACCTTTCTCTGCTGTGGAAGATACGAACGAAACACAGTCATTCTTTAACGACTCTTCAATTGCAAGCTGGTATCTTCAGCACATGGGATCAGTGGGGAAGCTTATGAAGTTTTTGCAGGTTGGTGATAGAGGGTACGTGTTTTACACGTATGTAAATTGATTAGTGACGTTAACATTGCTTGATGCCCAGCTTTGTCGAGATTGTCGCCGAATTCAATGCAAACGTCCCAGCAAGCGGGATCCCGTACAACACGAAGGACTCGATCCTTGGGGATGCTTTACGGCCAATATGTGCTCAGCTTTACTACATTGCGAAGGCAAAGCCCGTCCCAGAACACTCTGCTGTAACTCTACTTCAGGCACTATACCGCATCTCATCATCTTACTACGGCTTTCGTGAAATTGGACAAGCTGGTCAAATTTCGGAAACTATCACCAACCTGTTAATCAATGGCGAAGAATTTGTTGTGTTTTGGACAACACTTCTCTTAAGTCAAATGACGGCGCACACTCCCCCAACGTCGGCTAGTGAGTTCGAGTGAATTCGTTTTGTTCGTGTGTAATTGCTTACTTTTATTGCGTGTATTTTATTGTTCATAGACCTAGACTCTGTCTCTTTGAGAAAATGTGAGGAGGTAGAAACGCAAAACAAGAAGTTGCTACTTGCGAACACATACCTGACACGGTCTCTACTCACACACCTCGAAGATATTGATGCGAATCCAGGCAGCAGAAACTCAAGTCATCGGCGAAGGACCGGCTCTCTCGTTATGATGGGGTTGCTACAGACTCTCGAGGGCTGCCTTTGCTCTCGAGCTGCTACAACTGGGCCAGTCGAGTTGACGACTTTGGTTGAAGAAGTGGCAAAAAACTACAGTACCCTGCTGAAAGTGCTTTTTCAGGCTCGTTGTGCATCTACTGTCCAGGCGTGTATGTATCTTCTAACCTTTATTGACTACATGTTACTTTTCTTGAAAATGCTCACATAGTTATTGTTTCTAGGTACTTTACTGTTAAAAACCACGCTCGAGAAGTGCGACCCTGCTGTAGCTTCCACTATTCGAGACAAAGCGCTGACAGAGGGTATCGTGTTGCGACACTTTTATCAGGGTCTTTTCGATGCATCGTTCGACCAGCGGTGCGTGAGTCGATATTTGGTGTCTCTTTGGATGAGCCATCACGCTGGATCAATGCAGCTCCTGTCGCGAATGCTCCCTTCTGGGTTTCTTTATTTGTTGAAGGAACCTCCCGGTACACCAAGTCAGGTCGAGGAAAATGATCGACTTGAACGTGAGGTAATGGAAGAAGAGCGGCAAGAATGCTTGTTAGAAGACAATGATGGTCACGTGTCCTCTACGAGCGAGTCACCGCTCCAAAATGGATCGACTAATTGGCTATCTGGTGGTGAAAGAGCCAGTCTCGCCGATCCAGACGCTCACCAAGAGAAAATGTTTCAGGAGATTGTCTCTATGGGAGGTACGGGCAACGAAAATGAGGAGAATCGCCACCTATCAGGACCGAACTTGCCAACCACAGAGGTTTGCTTATCACTTTCGGGCGAGCGGTCATTGACAAGAAACGGTATTAAAGGACGGAATTCTTTCGATATACCGATTGGAAACAATTTGTCGAAAGCTCGAATGTTGCGCAAGCTGAAAAGTTCGGTTGATGGGACAACCTTACGGTCTGCAAACAATTTGAGGCATGAGTCGCGTCGCTCAAGTTTTCACGACCCAGCACCTCGTCTTCGTAAAAGAGATGTCGCCTTAAGCTTTTTAGGCACTCTAGGTGGCACAAAAGCACCTTCTTGCCACGGACACGAGTCTTCAAATGGGAAAAATCATGCAGTGTTGCGCTCTGCTCGCGCACAAGAGAATTTTTGCCTCCTCTTCCATATGATCAGCCTAGACCACGAGACCGTCGACATGATCTGGAACAAGAAAACTCGACAGGAGCTTCGGAAAGCTCTTTACACCGCAATCAAGTCTTTCACTCGATTCCAAGTCACCCTTGGGGGCATGAAGGCTCGATGGAACTTTGAAGATTTTAACGTGTCATACCCAAGCCTAGCCAATGAGGTTGTTGTTGGCGGATGCTACATACGAATTTTAGCGCACCTGCGCAGTAAAATGTCATTCTTCGGGACAGTCACAGACGAAGATGAATTCATTGCACTGACTCCGGAACAGGTGCGCGTTAGATATCCTGCAGCAGTCCTTGCTGCGCTTTATGTACGAATTCTGCAAGAAAATATTCATGCTGAGTACCGGAACGATTTGGAAACGTCGATACTGTGCATTAAGAGCATAGGAGTAGTAGCTGCTGCTCATGCTGGAAACGCAGCCGCCGTGGACTTTGAAGAACTGGGCCACTTGTGGGCATTGATGAGTAAGACTGTGCATGCTTCAATGCTGGAAAACTTTCTTCACACGATACGGGCATTGTGTCTACATCCTGGAAATGCACGACGGGTGTTAAGCAACGATCACAACATAGAGCTGGCAATTCGTCTTCTCCAGTTGGTACACGTAGCTAACCGTGATATCGGCGACAGTACCGAGCCGAAGAAACTCTGGATCTTAGAAAACGACAGAGGTGAACAGCTTGGACCTTTTAGCGTGAGGGAACTTCAGCAAACAAACATGAACTCATTATGGGCTCAACGACTAGATGACCCGTCGTGTGAGTCATTGACGACCAAGGCAAAAGTGATGGATATCCCCCAGCTGCGTTGGGAAGTGGGGATTTCCGGGGTACTGCATCCACTTCAGATGGCATACGATGCGATCAGTATTTTGCTCGCCGTGGCGCACTGTAACTCATTGTTACGCAACGCCAGTACACACGGCGGTGACCTAGCGCCACCTATGTTCCCTCTACCTCGAGGGCAGACGATGCTATGGAAATACACCCGACAAATTGTTCCCGTTTTAATACGTAGCAATCATCCTAAGCTTTGGGAAAAGACGGCTACACTGCTTGAGTTTTTGTATTCTGATCGTCAACCGACTGATACAGCCGAAGAAGGTGCTATCAATCGGGGATTTCTATTTCACTGGGGCTTGTTTTATATGGCATTCATAGGGGCATCATCTGATTTTGAAGCAATGGCAGGCCTGTTAAAGGCTACACATCGCCGTCAGACCGGATTCAACGCAACCAGTGCACTGAAGAGAATCCTTCCTGACGACATGATTAACTTACTGGAGATTTCTTCTCCATCTGCGTTTACTAAGGTGTTTTGCGAGGGAGAGCAATCCCCTAAAGTGATTTGGAGCATTGAGATGCGAAAGCACCTACAGACTCTGTGTCTTGCCCACGTGAAAGATTACGCTGAGGTTTTGGTAGAAGATGCGTCTGGTGAGTGGAGCTTTTGCCCAATGGCACCTGTTGCGTTTCAGGAACTATCCAAAGAAGTATGGTGTGGTGGGCTTTACTTGGGTCAATTCTGTGAGAAAGAAAGCTTTACTGTCTCGGACCCCTTGGATTTTATGGCAAAGCTGACGATGGAGTTGCGAGTTGAAGTAAACCGACGAGAAGCTGCTTTTACTATTGCTCAAGCACAACTAATTTTGGGCGTTCTAGACGAGGAATGTCTTGATGCTACTCTTCGTGCTTGCTTTAAGGAGAAGGCCAGAGCTTTAAAGCCGTCAGACATCGACTACTTCGACAGGTACGACGTAGGGGTTCATCAGTAAGTTTAACAACAGTGTTGACCACTTTTTTACCACATACAGGCTGGATGAGCTGCGGGAAGCGTACCGAATTCTCACTTCCCCAAGGCCGACATTACTGTCTGCCGGACATGACCCTGAAAACTTGCTACTTGTGCTCAATTCTCTAGTCAATATGTGCAAACGGTATTCAAAGCTACTTGTCAACTACGAGTTTGATGCGTACGACCTCCTGCTTCCACTGCTGGCAGCTCATTGCTCTGCTAGAAGAGCTCCCCCAGAAGGCACGACCATGACCCAGACTCTGGAGATTTCAGTCTGCGCAGCAGAGCTCGTTTACAACACGTGCGCTGTATCGGCTATTAATGGAAGATTGCTGCTAGAGCAACCCGGGTTGAGCACATTAGAGAAGGCGGTGAATTTTTGCGTCAATTCGATGGCTGGCAGTGAAGCCACAAAGGACCCCGAGTTGTTGAAAGTGTGCTTCTTTTTACTTTACACGATTACCGGGCTATTGGCCTCCCCTTTAGGTCGAGACTGGGTTGCGGAGTCGACCACATTGCCGGTGGACATGGTTCGTATTCTGTGGCTATGGAATCACGCCGGCTCGGAATCACTTTTGCTGTCAAAGCTGACGCAGCAAGTGCTCGAAGGTACTCTTTTGTTCATTACTTTCGAAGCTTTCATGTGTGTTGTGTGGTTTTAACTTTTATGATGGTGTAAACCAGGCATATCGAGAATGGCACAGCTAGAGAAAAACCAGAAACGCCTTATCAAGTCTGGAGTGTTGTGGCAATTGTTTAGGATCTTCTCAACGTATGATGTGGAGCTCGATGGAGCAGCAGTCCATACCCGATTGCAGGAAAGGCTTGTTTGCGAGGAAGAAGAACATGCAACTGTGGATGGAGAAGTTCAGAATCTATTAGCCGTCATGGCAGTTCGTGCTCTGTGCAGGCTTGGAGGGTTATTTGTTGAGGAAAGTGAACTCCAGTCTCCGTTTAACCCGATCGTAAAGCACGTTGCAGACGCGCTAATGACTCCGAATTTGTCTGAGCTACTGCTACTAAGTAGTCATCACGAGTTCTTGAAGATCTACCACGGAGAATATGAATCGTACACGCTGTATTGGAACCGTGAGATGCGTCAAGAGCAAATAGAGTTTATATCGCCAAGGGCCAGTGTCGAGCCTGATGTTTCTTTGGACGAACACTACGTCGACGTTATTCAATTCCGGTTTATGTATTTGGCAGATCTGTTGTACATCGGCGGTCTGTACGTCGAAATGCTCATGGGAAGCTTGCTGGTCATAAAGAAAAATCTGGTTCCAGCGCCGGTTGCCGAGTTTGGGCTCACCGACACATTTTTCAAGCAATTGTTTTCGTTTATTGACAGTGCGGAGCTTAGCTACCCAGAGCTTGTAAATGAGAAGGGGAATGTGCAAAGACTTGCACCTTATGCTGGTTGGAACATTAGCGAAGAGAGGCGGGCAACAAAAGAACGAGTCACCGCCCTTCAATGTTTGTCAATTACAACTTCCGTAGCTCCAGTGCTAGTGGAGAAAAACATGGTTGCAAATACTACCGCAATGAAGATGGTGTTACGCCTGCTATTTCCCCCGGACAATGAAGTTCACCAAAGCGAAGACGCCGAGAAGAGTTTAGTACTTACCCCGCAGCTATATGTCCCATGCCGGTCGCACTGTATTTCAACCTTACAAGTGCTGTCGACACTACAAGATTTTGGAACGGCCTCTCTGGAATTTGGTATTTGTGATATTCTTATTGAGTTGGTGCATATTTGCCGAGACGTCGGACCAGAGGCACTTGGGATCATCCGTAACCTTTGTGCAAATGAAGCAGGAGCAAAGTGCATTTCAGAGATTCTTCAATCGGGAGTATATTTGGAGCTCATCGGCTGGATGCTCCTTGTGGAAGAAACAATTAGCGACGATGACTTTGTGTCTGCCGAGCGTTTGCAAATCCCGTCAGCAATGATTTTGTCGGAAATGGTCAAGGATGGAGCACCACTGAACATGGAATCAAGGCGCACGTTATGTCGCTTCTTTCCCCCTGCGATTGTTCGGACAATAGCTTCAAGCCCTGATATGATCGTGGAGTATATTATGGTACCATGCGCTATGCTGTCGCTGTCATATTCATGTTTCTCACGTAATGCTTTGCTATTTTCTTGATATAGGCTGACCATATGACACCAGAGCTTGTCTGGAGCGTTGAATTCCGCAACCACCAGCGAAATAGCATCATCAACTTCCTCAATATTTACTTTTCATCGACCTCGACGACCGGGACGAAAAATGGAAATTATGTATCAGTGGTTGACTCGTTCGAGATTGATTACACTTTTCTGTATCCGCATCCTGTGGCTGGCGATGTATATATCACGTTGTACATGGAAGACCCAACGTTCAACTTGCAGGATCCTCTGTACGTACATAACGCTATGTCGTGAAGCACTTGTTGTTATCGTGCCGCTCATATTATTTGGGATATTCAGGTATTTTATGACGTGCTTGTGGTCCGAGTTCGAAGTCCTGTTTAAACAACTCGCTCATGTCACATCTGCTCTACGCGCAACGACTACACGTGCGGATGACGAAATGATACAACGCGATATTGGCCTGATCGATCTGGTCGGGTCGTCTCTAGTGTGTCTGCTACAGGTACCGTATGCCTCTATCATCGAAGCTTTTACTCAACCTTTTACCGTTCATACTGTTACATGTATACTTAGGTTGACACGTCATTGCTGGACAGTGTAGCGAAGCTGCAGATTCCCGCAAAGTGCTGCGACTACCTGAACGGCACAGTTCGTTCTCAAGCGAGTGAGGCATGCGTTGTCAACGTCGTACGGATTCTGCGGGTTTGCACAATGTCTCGTAACTGTATCGCATCGATGCAGCCTATGTGCTCCACGGCGTTGTCGTGCTTGATGGCAGTTACTAACGCCGTTCGAGGAGGCCCACTGCATTTCGAGAGTGCGTTTGTGTTGGAGATAATGCGACGAATCATTTTGAAATATCCAGAGCATGGCGATCGAGATGCAAGCGCTGGTATCGTGTATGTCGCAAGTCGGCTGGATTTGTTTGGGTTTCTGTTATATATTCTCGAAAATCCTGACGGTATCGGGAAAACAAAGGAGCCACACATCGTGCGAGCCGAAGCGATCGAGATTTTGAATCTACTGGAAAAGGTGCGAAGAAATGTTGTTGGAAACACGTTCTGTAAAAAGAATTGTAACTAAGTGTTTCATTGCTAACAACTTTGCAGGACCGTGTGCAAGGAAGCACTGCCCACCAGATATTGAAGAAGAACAAGAAGTGGCAGAAGATCTACCGACGTGAGGCCACTGATGTAGTGAAGACTATGTCTACTGAAGACCCGTTTTTGAAGTCCTTGTTCCCCAAGGCAGATCGTGTGATGCGCGAGTATACGCGTACAAACCCCTACAAAGCTCAATAGTGAGGGGATTCCAAAATTTATCCATTTCCGGTGTACAGACTACTATCAATACCTCGCTTATGCAGAAGGACGCGATCAATATGGTCCTAAATGGATTACCTCATTCGCGTTTGTTCTTTTCCACACTGGTAGCATGGATAAATTAAGATGATGATATAGAAGGCTATTACGTAAATTGATGATAACCAGCTTTTCGGTCTGGAACGTACATTTTGGTGGGATAGTTTAACAGGGCATCTAGTTACACGTAAACATTAAGTAACATACTTAATGTAAGGTCTAAAATTTTTGGTCGGGTTGGGGTGACGCCTTCCCGGGAAGTTTGGGCCAGCATGATGCTAGCTCAGGTCTTCCGACGGGTGCTTCGCGGCATCCGTCAGTCTTTGACGGGTCTCTCCCTCTACTCACCTCTCTCTAACCTCTCTCACCCCCAGCCGCCAGCCAAGCCGCCACGACGCACGCAGCCGCGCCCGAAGCCTCGACATCTCCGATTAGGTACGTTTAATGTTCAATCTATTGGTTCCCAGCGCAAGCAATATGAGACCCTTCCAGAGATCTGTCGACGTACAAGATTGACATCCTGGAGATTCAAGAGACTCGTATTGCCTTTCAAAGTGAACAGAAGGCCGGTACGTATCATCTTCTTACGCTTCCATGCTCCAACCGTTGGCACGGAATTGGTTTTGCAGTTGCCCCCCATCTACGCAGATTTATTTACAAATACTGAGCCCAGTCCGACCGAATTGGGACTCTTCAACTACGTCTTCCCAAAGCCCAGCGAGTGAACATCGTGAACGCATACGCGCCCCATAGTGGGTATCCTGTTACAGCAATCGACGGCTTCTACGCGGATCTGAACACAGCGCTATCGAAGCTCCCTCAACGCGACACGACGATCATCCTCGGAGTGTAGACGGGCACTTCTATGAAGTTGCTTTGTACTACGAGCACACACCTTATGCACAAGCGAGGAAGCGGTTATACCGTCTTACCTTCGCGTGCGAGGGTGGTTGGGAGGTTGGTCGACTGCTTAAGCAGTCGTACCACCAGTTGCCTCTCGCTTAAGCGAGAGTGCAACGAACTTCTTAACACTAGAACACCGACGTCACGCAGAAGTCTTTCAACTTCTCGTGCGTGGTGTGTTTGTTTAAGGAAATTCAAGACTGAGATATATTTAATTAATTATAACTAAATATATGTATTTAACTACTGATTGGCTAATTATATATATAGATCGGATACGCGACTCTTTAGAAGCGTATCCTGACGCATGAGCTTAAATCTAGATTTAAGATCGCAACTGACGTCCTTCTGAGACGTCGCGATGCCTATCTTCAACTAGCGTCATCCCTTCTCATGTGAATCCATAAATGGATATCACATTCACGAGGGTGGATCACATTTGTGTATCACACCCAAGTGACAGGTCAAAAGTAATCATGGATAATTTTAGACCAAACATTAAGTATATTATTTAATGTTTACGTGTAACTAGATACCCTGGTACACCATCCCCCGTTTTAGAACGATTTTTACATTTTGTAAAACATCGCCTAGGAGACAGAGAGACTTGCGAGCCGTTATAAACGCACCGCTTTAATCTGCTCGATTATCATGCCAGTAAGGCTGATGGGTGCCTGCAAAGGCACCCATGCAGTCCAGCACTAAGCGCACGCGCCGCGATTTATCGCAGCCGTCGCAAAGTGCTTCAGGCACTGAGGTGAATCTTCCATCTCACGATAATGTGGATGAAGATCCATCTCTAATTGAAGACTACGATGAGACTACGCCATTGCCATCACCCCAATGTGGCGATGAGCAAAGCGCATTGATGGGACATATGTCCCCATCATTTGAGGCACCCGTCCTTGAGGAAGCATCTATGCCTCCTACAAGCGAAGGTAAAACCTCGTCGTCTGCGCCTACGAGCGCAGCGACTAAGACTGAGCACGCTACTTCGAAAGGAGTAGTCGCGACTCAGTCAGATGTAACTCCTCAAGCTGATGTCTTGACAATCCATAATGGAGAGTCAGACTCAGGTGAGTGTGAGCTGAAAGCTCCACCAAGTACACCTTTGGCCTCACTAGACCGCCGTCGCGAGGGCGGCTACGTGAGTGGTGGCTTGCCACCAATGCCACCTCCATCTGAGTGGATGAACTCGGATGGGTCTAGCGCAGCGCTTTTGCAGCGTGCAACTATAGACTCTCATAGATTCTATAGCGTCTTTCCTTTGTGGAAAAAGCAGGGCAAAGCACTTAATCGTGCTTTCCCAATTCCAGTCGTGCTGCGTTCTAACGAAACAGCCGACGACTATGAAGATGAACTTCGGCGCCGTGTTACCTTGCATGAAGATGCAACGAAACAGCGGTCGCAGCAAATCAGCTTCGCCATGAAGCGTGCGAATGAATTCTTGGGTGGTAAGCGACCCCCAATTAATTCTCGCCACGCTTCTTCTGCTAGTCCAGCCGGACCTAGCAGGAAGAAGACAGCTTGTGCTGCTTCACATAAGCAGTCACCAGCCCAGGCACGTCAACGCGCAAAGCGTCCACATGCACCCACGAGTCAAAGCTCGTTGGGTAACCCTTCCACTGGACAAGGATTTGGAGCTTTTGCTTGGGCCAACAGCCTTCCAACAAGAAAGCGCGTGTTACCTTCCGCGTCCATAAACACAGGTGGTGCCCGATAGGAGTGGCGATTACGCCCACCTACTCGCGGCTGCCTACCCTGCTGCTGTTCAGTCGCAGGCTGAGTCCGCTGCGCTGAAGAGGCAGGTGACAGATCTCGAGAGTCAAGTCTCGCGACTGACTTTGGATCTGCGCGATGTGAGGGCGAGGGACCGTCAGGGGTATGACCGCCTGAAGACCCGTTTGGACATCCTAGAGCGACTGGTGATGAGAGACCCGCGTCAAGCGCGGAGTCCTCCTCGATCGCCGAGTCCTCTATCGCCTCGTTTATACACGGGGAGCCTCTCGGCATCCTCGTCGCCTGATCGGTCGCGACGCTCGACTCACAGTCGACGTCACCATCGGTCTCGTTAGACCGATGTGGATATGTGATCTCTTCTGGATCAACATACCGCTTCAGACGACCCACGTAAAATACGGGGTGCGTCTTCATATACGGTGGGAGAGTGAGCCTATAATTTAGGTCTCCAACTTCTTCAACCACTGTAAAGGGCCCAATGAATCGGGGCAATAGCTTAGTAGTACCACCAGGTAGTACAGAAATTGCATGTTTAGGTAGGGTAGCAGTACTTAATAGCACTTTGTCCCCAACACTAAAGTGTTCATTGTTTTTGCGACCATGCTGGTCTGCATATTGTTTTTGCTTGTCCTGTGCGCTTGCCATCGCGTCACGGACTTTACGTGTGATGGCTAATCGCTCATCCACAAAGCGCTGAGCTTCGCTCACGCTTTTAGCATCCAGCTCGCCTATGACGCCTCCAAGAGGTCGTTCATGGGTCGACGCTGTTGATAACATTGAGGTGTTATCGTCAAGGAGCACTGGCACTTCTTGCCGTGCCTCCTCTGTGACACCTATAGGTGACGTGACCAATGATAAACTAGCAGTATTACTAGGGAAACCTTGGCTCTTTTTTGGCATTTGCACCGAGCGAAGTGAGGGGCCCTCCCCCACTAAGACTCGGGCTGCGTACAAACGAGACTGGCGTTCGAGGATGACGCAGTCCGTTAATGTAAAACGGTGTTTCACCCGTACTGGCGTAAACACTGTTATTGATAGCGAACTCCACGAATGGCAATTGATTGCTCCACTCTTTGGGAGTCGCTACTGTACGCAACACATCCGCCACGACTCGATTGGCCCGTTCTGTTTGGCCATCGGTCTGGGGATGATCAGCGGTTGACATGTGGAGCTTGCTACCCAGCAGCTCAAACACATGTCGCCAAAAACCCGACGTTATACGCGGATCCCGGTCCGATACTATGGACTCGGGCATCCCGTGTAGTCGGTACACGTGATCCAGAAACAAGAGGGCAGCCTCTTTGCCTGAGATCTTGGTGCTACATGGTGCCAAATGCACCACCTTGCTCGGTATGTCTACAAAGACGACGAGCCCCGTCCTGCCTTTATGGTCAGGCGGTAAGCCAAACATGAAGTCCAAACTGACCGACTTCCAACATTTAGTTGGAATCGGCAGTGGCTTCAGTGGCGCACTGTTCGAAGGTGCAGGCTTAATGCGTTGACACTCTTCGCAAGAAATAATATAGTTGTCCACCCACCGATATAGGTGGGTCCACCACAATTCCTCTGACACTCGTAAGAATGTCCTTTCACGGCCCAGATGCCCACTAGATGGTGCATCATGGCACTCGTGAAGTATCATCGGCTTGAGATCTGTGTCATGAGGGACATAGATCCTCAAGGGATGACAAGGTTACAGTTGATGCCATAATAGGCCATCACTGTAACTGAAACGATTTAGTTTCGCTTTGAGGTGCGACGGAAGGGTAACCTTTCGTCCACCAAAATGATCCAACAGCAGGCGACAATGTTCGTCCTGACTGGAACCCTCCTTGATATCGGAGGCCATTGAGCTCGTAACATGGTAGGCCTTCATGGCTGCCAATTTTGACGACTCAACTTGTGCTTTCGCACGAGACACACTTTCCTGGTGTCTTGACTCGAAGTCTGGTCTGCGCGATAACACGTCAGCCAATACATTCGACTTACCCGGCTTATATTCAACTTTGAAATTAAATTCAGAGAAGAATGTTAGCCATCTCGCCATTCTCGTCGAGAGGTGCGGTGAATTTGTAGCGGTCCACAGTGATGCTTGATCCGTATAAACCACAAAAGGTTTGGTGCCCAAGAGGTGCACCCGAAACTTCACAAGGGCATACTTAATTGAAAGTAGCTCCTTGTCATGCACAGGGTAATTCAGCTCGGCAGCTTTTAAAAGCCGAGACTGATAAGAAATGACACGGTCAACGCCGTTGTCATCCTTCTGCATGAGCGCGCTGCCGATTGCAAAATTGCTT